ATCAAAGGTATTTTTTTAATATCATGATTGATTCATTCCCTATGTAGATCAAGCTGTTGTATTGTTACTAAATGGTTTTCCAGTCCTTGGCAAAGTATAGAATTTTCAAAATTTTGTAACTTAAAAGATATATGTTAGGGACTTCCCTGGTGGTCCAGTGACAAAGAATCTGCCTTACAATGCAGGGGACGGGGGTTCGATTCCTGGTCAGGGAACTAAGATCCCACATGCCACGGTGGGATCTAAGCCCGCGTGTCACAACTACTGAGTTCACGTACCTCAGTTAGAGAGCCCGCATGCCGCAAACTACAGAGCCTACGCGACCTGGAGCCCACGCGCCACAACTAGAGAGAGAAAACCCACAGACCACAAATAGAGAGAAGTCCGCGTGCGGCAACTAGAGAGAAGCTCACGCGTTACGACGAAGAGCCCGCATGCCCCAACGAAGATCCCAAGTGCTGCAACTAATACCCGACGCAACCAAAAATAAATAATTAATAATAATAAATCTTTAAAAATATATATATGTTAAGGGCTGGGGTGGGGGGTACTCCTTGTTTGATGTTACATGACATCACAGAATCCATAACAGAGCTAGAATGATCTTAGAAATCTTTCCAGTCTAACCCCTTAATTATTAATTACACATGAGGAAACGGATGCACAAAGAGACTGTGATTTGCCCACACAAAGTACACAAGAAAATACACAGTAGCAAAATTCAGGTCTGTGACTCCTGAATTCAGGGATAGTTCAGTAAAACTCCATTGCTTCCTAGTAAACCGAGAGGCAGAGCTGAGGCAGAAAACAAAGAGCTTCTGACTCCAAAAGCCCAAAATAAGACTTAATTTTGTTTAGGGCCTTAAGGTTTACATTGTGCTTCCACAGTTGTACCTTCTCCCTTGATGAATTATCACCACCTCCACAGAATAACTGACTGCTTCTCAGAGTGACATCCCCTCACAAAGTACCTTCCACACCTCTTCCCTCACGAGCTGCCTCACTCACTCACTCTCCTCCACTTTTGTTGACGGCACACGTCCATTAAATGCAACTGTATAACCACGTCACTGCATCTACAGATCACCCCCAATCGCCACCTTTGTTTAACAAATATTAAGTGAACATCCCCTTCATGCAAAACCCCGCGCGGTGGAGGATTCCAAGGGGCCCTGCTCTTGTGAAGCTTATGACTTTTTTGGGAAGAAAAGCAAGTAGACAAGAAAACCACCTGCGAAGGTGGCAACAAGTGCTCTAACGGAGGTCTAATCGTATGCGAAGGAGCAGGGAGGCCTCCCCGCCACAGTGACCGCCACCCTCCGAGAACCACCACCATTTCTGAGGGACTGCCGGCTCCGGCCCAGTCATCCCTCACTCTGCCCCTTGACTGTCCGCCTCGTCACCTCACTGCCCTTTCTGGAACCTTCACTCATCTCCGGAACTGTTCCACTTTGTACCTCACACCGCGTGGCCGTCTTCTCTCCCTCAGCCTCAGAGGCTGTTCCTCCCCATCGCCTTAGCGGGTCTCCCCTCCCCACCTCTGTCCCCTGAAGGTCCCACCGTCGGCCCCCTACGACTCCCCAATCTGTTCCTCGCTCCCTCAGGTGTCTGCGGGTCCTCACGCAGGTGCTTCAGCCCCTCGGCCCCTCGCTCGGCGCGACGCTCTCGCTCCACCTCCTTCCCGGGCTCCGGCGCAACGAGGCCCCGCCCCCGGGTCACCTGACCGCCCTGATGCCCCGCCCACTGAGCACCCGGCGCTGGGTGATCGCGGGACCCAGGCTTCCCCGGATGCCGCCGCCACGGTCGCCTTGCAGGGACTCCGGGGCTCCGGGCAGCGGCTGAGGTCGCCGCCGCCTCCGCCCGGACTAGAGAGCGCTGCGGCCGCATCCGTCTGCCTCACCTCATAAGGGCCTGTGACCTCACCCGGCCGGGGGTCGGCGGCCTGGACACGAGTGGCGGGGCTCATCTCCGAGCTCTCCCTCCTGCACCCTGGACCTCGATTTCTCCCTCCATCCTACACGCTCTCTGCTCTTCTGGTAGCTGTGCTCATTTTCTGGTCCGCTGTCCTCCCCCATCTGATCCCATTTCAATGTTATCTTCTATCCATCCTTTGAATACCTCCCGCCCTCTCTTTCTTCTAAAGCATTCCATCCTCCTTCGCTTCTATTACTTAGTAATGGACAGTGGCTCCAAGGCGTTTGTCCCACAACCTTACTGAGAATTGTTCTAGGCTGCCCTTCCGAGGACTAACTCTACTTTTGGAACAGATACTTCGTTTTTTTGCTGAAAATCAACTTTTCTTTTCATGCAGATGAACTGATATTGGTGAAAGAAAATACACAAAGCAATTGTTCATGGCTTTCCTCAGGAGTCCCTAAAACGTCGTATAAATCCAATTCGATGAAATTAATCGTCTTTAAGGTTTGTTAAAGTTGTAAATGCTCTGTCAAGCAGAGTGTTTTGAAAATAGACCACGATTTAAAGTATCTTTTCTTTACAAACATATAGGTAAAATTGTTCACATTGATCGATCCAACGTGAGCTCTCCATTATTTACATGTGGCGAACAGCATGTGCTTTAGAGACAAATCCTGTTTATTCATTGCACCTGGTGGGGCAAATTACCCATGCTATCTAAGCCTCAATTTTCCCTGGATTGTGATAATTCAAAACTGTATGTGTAGTACCTAATATGTTACCATAGTTAATTCCTTCAGGGATACTGCTATGATCATTTGTACCTTAAACCCTGCTCTGTAGGCATTCTTTAGTACGTTCAAAATGTATACAGTTTATCTCCCTAAATAGTCCATATGTAATCTGAGTGCTGAGACCATGTCTTTTATTTCTGTAAATACCCCACTCTCCATTCCCTACTTCCCCACCCCCCCACCTTATTTACAGTCACCTCTATTAATGACTCATCCCATTTTCCACCAATTCATACAGCATCAGTGCCAAATGTGTAAGGACTCTAATGGCTGCAGTCTGTATGCTGATCAACAGACTATGAATGCTTTAAAAATCCTGAACACTTGTAGTTTTTTTAGCACTACATCTATTCATGAGCTAGTTAGGTACTGTATTAGTCAGTTTCATAGACCCCCCCACAATAGCACCAACTATATATTAGTTAGGATTCGATTCTTTTGCCAGTAACAGAAAATTCCTAAATAATAGTTGACTAAGCAAGACAGAATTTTGTTTCTCTCTCACATTCAAGAGGTTCAGAGATAGTCACTCCAGGGCTAATGTGTACCATAGTTGCAGGTACATAGGCTTCTTCTATTGTATTGTTCCACTGGCTTCTGTTCCAGGGGTGATTTAATGGAGCTACCTCAGGGTATCTTTCAAACAAACGAAAAACTCTAAAAATTTTAAGGTTATGCTTCTCAGATCTTCTCATTTAAACAATAGGGCTTCTAAAAAAGCTTAAGGCTTTTTTCCTTCGGCAAAAGCTCAAGGTAGAGAAAAATTTATCTCAAAGATACTTATGGATATGGCTTTTATCTCATGGACTGAACCCCAGTAAGATTCACAGGAAATTCACAATTTTTAAAGAGAATTGTACTGTCAGAAACACTGCCAGCTTGGCCTCAAAGAGACAGAGAGAGTATAGAAAGAAACGAGGCCTTTGGACCCTCATGTTCTATGAGCAGGGAGCAGGCTGAGAAAACTATTTAGGTGCAAACCATGGGCTACCTTTCATGAAAAACGGATGACTTAGAGGGTGTAACAAAGAGCCTACAGGGTAGAACCTAGAGCCAAGGAGAATTATTCTGAGGCCTTGAAGGTGGAACTGCAAACCTGTACCTGAGTGAATTTGAGAATTGCAATGGACCAGGAACTTCTGCGCACCTCCTGTTTTCTGTCTGTTAGAACAGGAGTGTCTGTAGTAGTTATCCCATCTATCCCACCATTTTACATTGGTGGTTGTAGGAAGGAAGCACATAGCTTCTTTAGTTCACAGGACTTCAGATTGAGAGGTACTCAAGTAGCTGTATATAAGGAATTCACCCAAGAAGCCTATCTACCCCTGGATGTATTTAGAGGATAAGACTCTGGACTTTGAGCTGATGCTTGTTAGTCTGCGACCTTGGGAGCTTCCTGGGGTGAAATCTGAAACCAGCCCCCCACATGAAGGGCAGGGAGAGACCAAAGAAAGAGGCAGACCACTCCACATTGGTAGGTGGCAGGTTTAATAAGCAAGGGAACTTACATACGAGGCTTGTCTTGGGAGGCTGCAAGACAAGTAGATTTCTGCACCCACCCACCAGAACCCTGAAAGTTTATATAGAGGCTCTGGGAAGCAGGGAGGGGCAGTATAGCCGTAGAGGATTAAGAAGTACAAACTATTATGTATAAAGTAAGCTAAAAGTACTAGCCAATATTTTAAAATAACTATAAATGGAGTATAACCTTTAAAAATTGTGAATCACTCTATTGTAACTTATATAATATTGTACATCAACTATACTTCAACAAAAATTTTTTTTAAATTTTAAGTTTATATAGAGGCTTTAACAAGCTTCAGTCATATATAACATCCGGACAGTCTCAACAACACCTTACTGTCTCAAGGCTACATCCTTGAAAAAGTTCCCACTGTGGAAACAGTAGGCAAAATGTACATTCCAAGGACAGGCGAGGAAGTGAGGAAGCTCCAGTTGGCCAGGTTCAGCTTGTGGGTCATCCAGCAGTCTCATCTTCTTGATTACCTCCTCCAACAATGCTGTAATAGGGTAAGACTTGGGGGGCTTGGGAGGGGTGAGTTTACTTTGCATGTGGGAGGACTATAAATTTGTGACCATGGGACTTCCCTGGTGGACGAGTGTGTAAGACTCGGGGGGCCCAGGTTTGATCCCTGGTCGGGGAACTAGATCCCACATGCATGCCACAACTAAGAGACCACATGCCACAACTAAGAAGTCGACATGAACAACTAAGAAGTCTGCATGCTGCTGCAGCAAAGAGCCCGAATGCTGCAGCTAAGACCCAGCACAGCCAAAATAAATAAATGTTTTTAAAAAATAATAATTTGTGACCAGAGGGTGGACTGTGATGATTTTTAAAATATGTCCACAAATACTTTGATGCTTGTATTAGTTTTCCATTGCTACTGTAGCAAATTACCACAAACATCATGGTTCGTGGTAAAAAAACAGCAATTTTTTACCTTACATTTATGGAGGTCAGAAGTCCTAAATGGGTCTTACACGGCTAAAATCAAAGGCTGCATTCCTTCTGGAGGCTCTAGAGGAAAATCCATTCTTACCTTTGCCAGCATCTAAGGGCTGTGTTCATTCCTTGACACATGGCCATATCACTCTGACCTGCTTCCATCATTACATTTACTACTCTCATTCTGATCCTCTTGCCTTCCTCTTATAAGGACTCTTGTGATTAAATTAATCCTACCCAGATAATCCATGATAATTTCCCTATCTCAAGATACTTAATTACATCAACAAAGTTCTTTATTCCATGTAAGGTAGCATATTCACTGGTTCTGGGGATTAAGATATGGATATTTTTGGCTGGGGGTGGGAGTGGTCACAGGCAATGATTTTGTCTACCACAAAGTTCTTCTTTTCAAGAAGTGGCATCTAGTTCCCTCCCCTTGAATGTGGGCTAGATTTAGTGAGCTATCTATAACAAAGAGTATGGCAGAAGTGATGATGTGACACTTAATAAAACTAAGTAATAAATGACATGGCAGCTTTCTCCTTGCTCTCTCTTGGATTACTCACTTGTGGAAAAGCCAGATGACATGCCACGTGAACACTCAAGCAGTCCTATGGAAATGTCCTATTGTCGATAGCCAGCATGGAACTGATGCCTCCTGCCAACAGCCATGTGAATAAACCATCCTGGGAGAGGATCCTCCAGCCCCTTTGAACCTTCCATTGACTGCAGCTCTGGCCAACAGCTTGACTACAACCTCTCGAGAGACTCTGAGACAGAACCACCCAGCTAAGCCATTCTTGAATTCCTGAACACGGAAACTGCAAGATAGTGTTTGTTGTTTTAAGCTGCTAAAATTGTGTGGTAATTTGTTATACAGTAGTAATCCCCTAGGGTCACATCTTGATCCATGATGTCTGCTTACAGTCTAGCCATCATCTCTACATTCCAGCCTGCAGGAAGAAGGAAGGGGAGAAGAAAGTCATGCTCCCTCCCTTAAGTGGCACTTTCTGGAAGTTGTGTGCACCTCTTTCATTAACATCTGTCAACAGACAGCCATCACACACCTAGCTTCAAGAGAGGCTAGGAAACAGTATTTATTCTGAGCAGCCATGTGTCCAGCTAAAAATTAGGAGTTCTAGTACTATGTGAGAAGGCGAAAACAGATACTGGAGCACAATTAGCAGTCTCTGTCACAGTGGGTGATTATAAGGGTACGGAAAAGTAAAGTCTGGCATAGATCCATCAACATTTTTCCTTTTTCTTAACAAAATATTTCCATCGGCCATCACATGATATTTATACAGGCGTCACTCTGACCTCTCCAAAGAATCATGCCTATTGTGCTTGAGTCACAAAAAAACTAATATATTAGGTAAAACACAATGAATTGTGAAACTTTTTCCTTTCAAAGATATTTTCAGGGACACTGTTAAAGAATAATTTACAATGGAGGTTTTGCCTAAAGTCTCTTAAATTTCCTAAATTTTGCTTTCTAGATACTTATATTCCGTGTGCATTCTTTGGTGTACTGTCAGAAAATACACAGCTAATGAAAAATATTTCCTCTATGCAAGAGGCTGGAGAGACATCACTATGACATTAGCAGCTGCAAGGAACACAGTCATGTTCCTGATCTATAATTTTCCTTTCACACACAATCCATTCTTGGATACCCACAGTAAGTGGATTTTTAAAATTTTATTTAACAGTATGGTTAACCCCGATCAAAAGATTTAAAACTGCCTCCTTGTGTGCTTTAATCAAACTAAAACAAATTAGGAAAATGTATTTCCAGAATATATTACAAAACCAAGTAGAAATTATTTTTCAGCAAGTATTAAATAGCTTATCTGCAAAGCATATATTATTGTTTCCTTACATCATTGTGAAAAATGATGGCATTGTAATTCCAAGAGAATCTGCTTATAATTGGTCCCAGTGGTCATTAGATGTCTATTATAATAGAATTCAAACTACAGAGGTCAAGAGTTAAAGGATTACACATATACTTGACATATTGCTTTCCATTTCATTTTCACATAAAGTCCTCCATTTTCATCCATTTAGTCATCAGTTACCATGACGTAAATAAAACAAGGAATCTTACAAAATTTCACCATATAAGGACTCAGTCTAGGTTCACATAATCTTTTTATGATGACATGTACTGTATTGTGTTTTTAAAAATGTACATTACGTAAGGAATGTAAGACTCAAAGGCAAAGATAACAAATGTTCTATAAAGTACTTCAATGCCACACTGTCAGTGCTTAATAAATTTTAAATAGCAAAAAGTGAAGTTACAAATTCTAAAGTCTTATTCTGGCATCCTATTGGATGACACTGTTAATAATTAAGATTTTGATCCTATCTCCTGTGAATTAATGCAGTAAGAGTATTTTCTTGCTTCAGCTTGGTACACACAAAAGGTTCTTCTCTGCCAGCCAAGTATCCTGTTAGCGGTTTTTTTCCCCTGTGATTCTGATCTATTACTTCTTTTAGTTTTTCATGGGAATTTGTGGCTGTGAGTGAACCCAATAAGCCTGTGATTACTTAACTTGGAAAATGGATTGAAAGTAGACTTTCATTTTGTGTGGGTAGATATTTGGTTTTCTTAATCTATCAGCCAAGGTATGTTCTTAATCTTTTAGTAACTGAGCTGACTTATTGTAAACTTCTTTCTAAGCCAGAAAGGATAGGTATGTGATTCCTTAAATCAGTGGTTCTCAAACTTGAGCATGCAAAAAAATCACCAGGGGGACTTAGATCATCTGGTCCTAGGGCCGACACTTTGAAACCCACTGCCTTAAACAAAAGTTGGAGTTTGGAAGAAGTTGATTCCAAGCTTCACAGATGACTTTGAGGGGTTCAAGACTTCAGTGGAGGAAGTCATTACAGGCGTGCTGGAAATAGTGAGAGAACTAGAATTAGAAATGGAGCCTGAAGATGGGACTGAATTGCTGCAATCTCATGATAAAACTTGAACAATGAGGAGTTGCTCCTTATAGATGAGCAAAGAAAGTGGTTTCTTGAGATGGAATCTACTCTGGGTGAAGATGCTGTGAAAATTGTTGAAATGACAACAAAGTGTTTAGAATATTACACAAACTTAGCTGATGAGAAAGAAGCAGCAAGGTTTGAGAGGACTGACTCATTTTGAAAGTTCTACTGTGGGTAAAATGCTATCAAACAGTACTGCATACTACAGAAAAATCATTTGTAAAAGGAAGAGTCAATCAATGTGGTGAACTTCATTGTTGTCTTATTTTAAGAAATTGTCACACCCTCCCCAGTCTTCAGCAGCCACCACCCTGAACAATGAGCAGCCATCAGTATTGAGACAAGACCCTCCACGCGCAGGAAGATTAGGACTCGCTGAAGGCTCAGATGATGGTTAGCAGTTTTTAGCAATAAAGCATTTTTTAATTAAAAAATAAAAGTTGGGCATTTAAATGGTCCTGTAAGTAATTTGCCATTAAGCCTTTATTTTACTAATTTATGCTTCCTGCAGACAAAACCTAGACTAAATTGACAGTTCTGTTGAGATTATACAAGTTCCTAAAAAATCTCCAATTAAAAAAACAAAACAAAACTCTGACTCTCATAACAGTAAAAATGTACTCATTTTGTTACTAAAGTCTAAAGAAAAGCTCTAGGTTCCAAAACTAACTTCAGTTCCCGGAATCGTCATCATTCTGTTACATTTGGAAGCACACTTGTTCTAAAATAATCATTTGTGAGGCAATGACACTCTTATTCACCCAAAGGAAACAGAAACAACAACACAGGAAGCACTGGGCAGCCTTAAGCCAATTCTTTTTGGAAAGCACATTTAATTCACCGTTGCACAACTCAAACAGAGGAGGTGGTTAGGAGGTCAGGACATCAGGTAGGTAATTTCAACCAGGAATATTTAACAAAGAGAAATATCTTGAAATCATGGATGGTCTAGGAATATCTGAGAGGTAAAGAACTGACTTCTTATGTGACAACTTGTCAGGAATGTTCAAAATTTCCCATTATTGTCCACAGACCCTGAGATTGAACGTAAAATATCTCCAAAAGAGCTAGGCACAAGTAACTTCTTCGGGCTGTTTTGTCTGAGGCTAAAACACTATTTTGATGTTCACCCTACACAATGCCAAAACTGACTGCTCTTTGCTATCTCGGGAGCACAGCTCAGCTTCTCCCCACATACAAACAGTACTGATCTTCAAAGACTGTGAGCCTCATTCCAGAAACTCAGACAAGATTCTTACTGTTTTTTTCATCCTTTGAATACATGTTCCTCCTCCTTTGATACAGTTTCTTCATATAAACCATTTTATCTAAAGAAAGTGACCAACTGTTACTCCAGTGGAGTCTCTTCTCAGTAGCCAAAGGTTATAGTTAGATTCTAAACTTCTTGGATTCATGATCATCCCTCCCCGTTTATCCCTCTACAACATTACCATCCTCAACAGGAAGGTGTAATCCACAAGTGAGGCAGGGCTCGGTCATCTGTCCTGTTCCTAATCCCAAGGCTTATTCTCAATGTTAACACATGGATACAGAAGACACATTGCAGCTACTTCTTATGGAGTCCTCTTCCCCAATTCGTGGATGAAACCATGTGCAAAGTGAACAAAGAAATAATAACTAAGTGGAGCTTAAGTGCTACAACAGGAGATGTAACTACCAACAACAGTTGGAAAAGGGGTTCTATGAGACGACAGAATGAAGCTTTTTCACTGAGAAAGGTGATATGGGATGACATCTGCTCTTGCCAGAGCCAGGTCTCCCAACCGAAAAAACAAACAGCATCAACATCCCACAGAATCCTGACTGCATGTTTGATGCCACAGTAAGTCCCAGCATCACAGACTGTTGGTACGGAAAGAGACCGCCTAGACTGGCTGGTCCAAACCCATCATTTTTCAAACTAGAAAACTGAGCCCCAGGAAAAAGAAAGTAACTTGCCTTAATTAAGGTTAAAGTTCCTTAGCTGCAACACTGAGGCCAGGACTTAGATTTTCTGACCATCAGACCACTGTTTTTAGGCCCTTCCCTTTTTCTTGGGGAGTGGTGGTGGTGGTTAACGTTGAACGAATGTAAACACCAATGGAGTTTTTCTGCTTTTGCTAGAAAAAAAGAACAGCCCATTTACCTCCTCCTGCTTGGGAAAGGTCCAGCATGTCCATGTGTCCATCCCCGCAGGCTTCAGGGATGAGAGAGCCCTTACAGACCCAGCAACTGGGCAGCAACTTGCTATGAATGATGCCAAGTGGGAGTGTCTGCATCCAGCCCAGGTCTGTGTGGCTTTTCACCCTTTTCTTCTTCATCATCAAATAAAATTACAAATATAATGCAAGTGTGTTTATATCTATGCTCCTTTAGATTAAACAAGCCTCATCATGGTTTCAGGTGCCCCAATGAGAAAAATAAAACAAAATTGCACTTGTGGCCTCTCAGATTAAAGACTGAGTTAAAATGAGGTTGCCCGGCCCATAGGAGAATGGGCCACACACGCTGATATGACTGGCCCATCATTCCACCCTGGCACTTATGCCCAGCAGACTCAAAGACCCGTGGGAATGACTCCTTCACAAGACACCCAAGAGGTAGATAAATGCAATCAGCCCCATGGGTGGACGTAGCACACAGAAGCACAGGGTTGGGTGTGTGGAGGTGCCTTGGACACGAGACAGAAGGCCTGAAGGGTGAGGCCAGACCTCTGGCTCTAACCATAGCACTCTCCCTGGAAGGAATAGCTTCTGGTCATGAGAGAAATTCCCAGTATGTAGCAAATGTCTATAGTAGTGAGAGGGTGGAATAGGAGGTAAAGAGGTGTTGCTGGTCTAAGGGTGACACACTTTTTCTACACGAATCACTAGGGTAGAGCTGTCAATGAGGCAAATCTGAAGGGTTAGGATTATGAACTCGGGAACTCGGGCACCTTAACCCCAGGCCATGCATGACCCGTGGGTGACCCTGCCATTCTCACTCCCAACAGACCGAAGAATAGGTAGAAAGGACTTCCTTTAGGAGAGAACCATGCCGGACTGAGGTGATGGCAAAGACAGGCAGCTCTGATGGTTCAGCTCTCCCCGGATTTCTCCTTCTGCCTGAGGGAAGGGAGAGGAGCTAGGGGCATGGATGACACAGCAAGGCTGCAAAGCCTGGCAGTTCCTACCAGAGCTGCTGAGAGTCAGGCCCAAGAACCATAAACACAGGGTAAACCAAGGCCCCTTTCTCTGAAATGAGAGGCCTTGGCCCTGCCCTCCTCTTTAAGAGAATGGCCTGAGAAGGAAAGCTGGCTTCCCACTGAGGTAATGAAGAATACCTGCTCAGCTACTAGGTCACCCTCAGGTTAAGCAGGTAGACTCCCTGAAGGAGGCGTTCTGAGGACAAAGGCGAGGAGCTCTGCTTCTCTGGGACACATCACAAGTTTTAAGTTACACACTCTCCCACACGCAGCACACCCACATGCACACACGCACAGAGACCCACATTCTTCCCACCCACCCCACTCCAAGCCCCCAATTCCGCCCCACAGGTATTGCCCCTGCAAACATGACAGCAGAGACACCCACAGTCCTGGGACAGTCTGATAGTGATCTGAGGATGACTGCCTGTCATTAAGTGCCCCGATAGGTGATGTTGGTGAAGGTGGACGTGGCCTCTTTATACAGTGGGTTGTTGGCCTGCGGAGAGAACAGAAAAGTGTCTTACAGCGAATTCCTCAATTCTTCCCTACCCTCCGGGTTTACACGTCATCTGAGATGTTTACCCAAGACACTCTTCTCTGGGATACACCATCGATGGACTGCTTGATGCTCATGGTACTCACACATTTGCTCTTAAGGAGGGAATGGATAGGAAATAAGAGGAGAGATAAAGTGGAATGCTATCCTGCCACCACGCCTAAGGGGTTAAATTCAGCCCATCACTTTTGGTGATCCCAAAACACTTCAAGGTAGCTTTTAGCCAATACTTCCTATTTCCTCCCTCCCTATGAACTCTCTCTTTTGCCTTTCTCCCTTTTTTTCTTTGTTGTGACTGTGATTGGGAGTGTGGGCAGAGAAGAGAAATGTAGCAGGTGGTGGCTGGAACATATAGGACCACATTTGCTCAAATAATTCTTAATCTGTTTTCATCTCATCCCTCAAGCACTACCCACAAACTGTCACGTTATCAGGAAAAAGGCCCTCACTATCATTCGGTTTCCCAAATTATTTTCTAACAAAAAGTGACAAATCCCATTAGGTCTAGTAGTCCTTAGTGGTAGCCTCAAGAAACAGAGCACATTCTCATGTGCCTCAGAGAGTCAGGATTTCTACATCATCTGAACAGAAACATCTCAGTTTCTTGGGACCCTTGAGTACAATGGCCTGAGGTCACCATCAAATGGGAACAAACTTTCAGCCTAGCCTCAGGTATTCAGGGAGTCGGTCATTTGGAAGGTCCAGAAAAAAGTTAAAATGTGGAACACGAGCCAAAGGAGAATAGAGTAAACTTAAGTATACAGAAGGTTCTCCATAAATGCTTGTTTGATTGGATTCAATCAGGATAGACTTCAGGGAGCGTACTTTTAAGAGGCTGACCCAAAATAATTCCTATCATAACCTAATTCCCTCCCACAATCGGGGAAGCTGCTTAACTTTTCTATACTCAGTTTCTTGGTCTATAAAATGGGAACAATAATGTTACCTACCACATAGGGCTGTTATAGAGATGAAATAAATTAATACGTAAAAAGCATTTAGAACAGTTCCTGGTAAATCCTCAGTAAATGTTAGTTATTATTATCTGTCTCTGTTTGTGTTTAATGCTTTCATCAGTAGTGTATCATGTATTACTATATGTCCTCAGTGTAGGATTCTCAAGTTTGTCCTGTCTTCCTCACTCAGAGAATACGTTTCCTTTTCATCACTTCGCAGTGTCCAGAGCAGAGCTGAGCCCTCCCTGTGCTCAGTTGGTACTCACTGACGCAGTAGAGAGAGAATCAGGTGGTTTCCAAGAAGCATACGGACAACAGGACAGTTAGGCCATCTCTCAACTTCCAGAACAGAGGCTAACCGGGAAACTACGGTGCTGGCTGACACTGGCCACCCTAAATAACCATCTGCTGCTTCCTCTTGAGACCCTCGAACCAGCGACTGAGGAAAATGCCCAGCTCAGCCCAGCCTCTTACTGTGTCCCATTTGGCTCTGGCTCTCTCTTCCTCAAATTTAGCAAACTCCTTCCGGTCATGGATGGTAATGAGGAGCTTCCAGATGAGCAGAGTAGCAAGGCCGATGAGCAGAATGGCCCCCATCACTGAAAGCAGGACCACCAGGATGTCAGGGCCCTTGGGACACTCTGTCAGGAGAGAGCACAGAGCAGGGTGGTTGGCAATGGAACAGGAATCATTCGAATTGGCTATAAATAAGATCTTCTTGACAAAGTAATAAAAGTATTGCGTTGGCCAAAAAGTTCGTTCGGGTTTTTCTGGCCAGTGATATAAAAACCCGAACGAACTTTTTGGCCAACTCACACTAGAACGTTATCTAAAGGGAACAGGACTTATAAAATAAGCCAATTAATTTTTTAAAGGAGGGGGGTACAAGCTTTAGAGCAGCAATAATCTGTCCTGATTGTTTTAAATGAGAGGTTGTTAGTTGGTCACCCACAGGCGGAATCTAGCCTACTCTGTGTGAGTCCCCACAATTGGATTTTTGTTTTTTAATTTTTTAAAATAAATTTATTTATTTTTGGCTGCGTGGGGTCTTTGTTGCTGTGCGCGGGCTTTCTCCAGTTGCGCAAGCGGGGGCTACTCTTCGCTGCGGCGCGCGGACTTCTCATCGCGGTGGCTTCTCTTGTTGTGGAACACGGACTCGAGAGTGCAGGCTCAGTGGTTGTGGCGCGTGGACTTAGTTGCTCCGCGGCATGTGGGATCCTCCCGGACCAGGTGTTGAACCCGTGTCCCCTGCATTGGCAGGCGGATTCTCAACCACTGCACCACCAGGGAAGACCCACACAGTTGTTTATTAAAAATTTGATTTTGTGGGCAACACTGAATAATCAGGAGATTCTTCCCTTAGAATTTCAGATTCTTCTTCTTCTCTTTTTAAAAAAAAAGTCAAAAGACCTAGAACCACTGAACCTATATTTTTATCGGGTTGTAAATGGCTAGGGCTGAGGAGCAGCTGCCCCTTTTAGATGGGACACGTTTTCAGTTTGCCAGACTCCTCACTACTCCCTCTTTTCTCCACTAAACAGAGGCAAAGTGTGACCTGTCATTGAGTCTGTGCCACTGTGGGCTTTGGAGCCAGACTGCCTGGGTGTGAACCCTGGCTTTCCACTTACTCTGTTATGTGACCTTTGATAAATTATTTAGCCTTTCTAGTGCCTGTTTCCCATTTCTCCATCTCTAACAGTAATAGCCCTGACTTCAAACCTTTATTATGAGGAATAATTAAGTTAAATACATTGAAAGAACTCAGAACAGTGCCTGGCAGAGCCAGTGCTCGATAAATATCAGCTACCATTATTACTGGTGCCCCTGCTACACGTGGCTGTTTTCCCTAATTTACTTACCCAGCTCCTGTAGGCATTTGAGTTAGCTGCCCTGGTTCAGATATCTAACATCCCTGAGGGCTGGGAACCAATGACAATTTTAGCATACTTTGAGACTAGGAGGCCTGCCAGCCAAGACAATATTTTGGGTTTCTTCCCAAAATATTTAGTCATCCAAAATCCCCCTATTGAGAACCGACTTCCTGTTCAATCCCAGTCAACAACCAACATAAACAGAGGTACGTCACCCCTCTGAGGGCCAAGATGAGTATGCTCTGAACAGCTCTGCTTCCCATCAACCACAGACGTCTGATGAGTGACCTCGCTCCGGTAACTTCTCAGGTGTTATGTAATTAGGTGTTTGTATATGTGAGTATTGATGGGCCTGGAAAGGAGTCACACCTACTTTCCCCACTGTTTCGCACCTTCTTCTCTAAACATATACACTATGCTCACCACACACTACCCATCCCATCCCACAAAATTACAACCTGTCTATAATGAAAGAAATGTCTGGAGAGAGGCTGTGAGGTTCCAGTGTCCGAGGTCCTAGGAGTGAAGGGCCCCCGTTCTTCTGGGAAAAGCAGTTACGAATTCTCTGGAAGACTGAGGTGGGGCTGACCCTCAAACCTCAAAGTGGAATCTCTTCAATTTTACATGTCAGTACAGGCAGGACAGGTAGAATGCCAGATCTTAAGGGGAAAAATTAAATCTCTTAACCATCTGTCCTGAGAGGGGTGGATGGCAGGCTTCCTGGAAGCAGACACAAGATCAGGCGGTCTCTGAAGAGCCCTCCCAGCCACAGTGATGACGACCCATGGTGGGTGATGACCCAAGGTCAGGGAAGACAGGGTAGGGTTAGCAGACTTGACAGACAAAAGTACAGGAAGTCCAGTTAAATTTGAACTTCAGATAAACAACAAATAACTTTTTAAGTATGTACCACATATTGCATGGGACATATTATACTTCATCAGGCAACACTATCTGGAAGTGATGAGGGCTCAGCTCAGGGGAGCTCATAACCTGAGGGCTGAACACCACTTGGCCAATGCCAAACTCTGGTGGTGCCCTCTTCACTGCCCTGCAGTGGCTCAGCCCTTCAAAAAGGACATATGCAAGGACATGAGTTAGGGAAGAGAATGAGAATAATCTCCTCCTACACTCAGGGCCTCAGACGCTACCTTCTACTAAAAGCCAGAGACCCTGAAAATGATTGGAGGTTGGGGTGAGAGGAGAGGCAGAACGTGGAATTCCAGGACTACAAGGTAGGAAACGTAGGTCTAGGGTCCCATCTCCTAATGTGGAGGAAGGGGTCTACTGGCAGTAAGCCTAAAAAGTTACCCTCCACTCTGTTAACTAGTTATGTGTTACCATCCCAGTTATCATCATCTTCGTTCCCCACAACTCCAGGAAGTAGATTCCAGTCTCAGAATACCAGGTCAAATGATTCGGTAAGTGATACAGCAAGAGCACCAGCCGGATTGTTGTAACAAAGAGATGAAGTAATGTTAAACCCCAAAGCAGGAACACACTGCCCTTCTGTAATGAGAAGGGACAATGGTACAGATCGGGAGGGTGTGGGAAAATCCATTTAATGTGTTAACACAGGTGGATGGGAAAGTGTGAGGAAGTCATGGCCAAACTAACCTACATCTGCTCCGCCAGAGAGATATACCCAGACTCCTCCCTCTCCACTTCCCCATGCCAGCCTTCCCTGAGTCACAAAATAAAACTAAGGTGATGCCCTTTCCTTACCTTCCTTCTCCCTTATAAAGGATGAGAGTTCTGGAAAGGCTGATGAACAATATCGCAAATGGGGACCCCATGCTTTCCTCTACCCACGGGGACAGCAACACCCTGGGTGACACAGATGTAGCCCTCTTCCCACCTTCAACCCCTCCCTTCTTTAAGCAGCTAAAATTCTGCCAACAGATATTAAGTCTGTCTGTCTCCTAGGAATAATCAGTCCTCTTAATTCATTCAAAAACTGTGTATTAAGTATCTTCTCTGTAAATGACTGAGCCAAGTATGGGGATATAACAGTAGATAAGACAGACACCATTCCTGTGTTCATGGAACTTATGGCCAGCTGAGGGAGACAGCCACTACGGAGAACAGTATGGAAGTTCCTTTAAAAACTAAAAATAGAACTACCATACGACCCAGCAATCCCACTACTGGACATATACCCCGAGAAAACCATAATTCAAAAAGTCATGTACCACAATGTTCATTGCAGCTCTATTTACAATAGCCAGGACATGGAAGCAACCTAAGTGTCCGTCATCAGATGAATGGATAAAGAAGATGTGGCACATACATACAATGGAATATTACTCAGCCATAAAAAGAAACGAAATTGAGCTATTTGTAATGAGGTGGATGGACCTAGAGTCTGTCATACAGAGTGAAGTAAGTCAGAAAGACAAAGACAAATACCGTATGCTAACACATATATATGGAATTTAAGAAAAAAAAACTGTCATGAAGAACCTAAGGGTAAGACAGAAATAAAGACACAGACCTACTAGAGAATGGACTTGAGGATATGGGGAGGGAGAAGGGTAAGCTGTGACAAAGTGAGAGAGTGGCATGGACATATATACACTACCAAATGTAAAATAGTTAGCTAGTGGGAAGCAGCCGCACAGCACAGGGAGATCAGCTCGGTGCTTTGTGACCACCTAGAGGGGTGGGATAGGGAGGGCGGAAGGGAGGGAGACACAAGAGGGAAGAGATATGGGAACATACATATATGTATAACTGATTCACTTCGTTATAAAGCAGAAACTAACACACCACTGTAAAGCAATTATACTCCAATTAAAAAAAAAAAAGAAGCAATTTGATAGTGTGATGAAGGCCCATCTAAAGGGAAGCACAGCTGCTGTGAGAATCAAACAGGTCACCAAATCTAGTCATCGGAATGGAGGCTGGAGGAGGTCTGAGATGGCTCATCAGGGGACGTGATATATCTAAAGCAGAGGCATTCAAACATTGGGGAATATGTCACAATTACCAGGAGCATTAACAAAGGACACAGAGGCATAGGCCTGTGGAAGTAAGACAGGGCTCAGGACTCTGGATTTTTTAACAAGGGAACATACAAAAGTTTGAGAACCACTGCCCTAAAGCAGGGGCCAGCAAACGACGGCCCAGTAAGCCAAATGCGGCTGGCCACCTGTTTCTGTAAACGCAGTCAGACCCCTTCATTTGCATATAGTCTATGGCTGCTTTCCTGCTACTGTGTCAGAGTTGAGTAGTCACAGCAGAAACCACCTGGCCCACAAAGCCTAAAATATTTAATATCTGGCCCTTTACAGAAAAAGTTTGCTGGCCCCTGGTCTAAAGGATGATTTGAAGAAACTCCTATGGCTGTAAAGAATGTCCAGCGACCGACTGATTTACCCTCTGCCTTCAGAAATTGTTCCTTCACTCCTGAAAGTTCTTGTCCACCCCTCCCATCCCCAACGCCCGCCACACTGTAGCCTTTATCCCTCTGCAGTGTCGTTACCGATTTACATGCCTCTCTCCCCCATGGTCTGTGAGTACCACATCTGCCTTATTTACTGTTATAACCCCAGCACCTAGCCCACTGCCTGATATATAATAAGTACTCAAAAATATTGTCAAATGATTCATTACTTAGTCCATTGTTTAAGGGAAAGAAAGAAGATGAAGGAAATAAGGGGAAGCAAGCAAATCTACCATGCTGGATGGTGACAAATCCGTGGTGGGTCTGTGTATGACGGGAAGAGCTCCCCTGCTTCCAGAGGGTCTTGAGAACAAGAGGTAACTTTTCAGCGTCCAAGGCAGCCTTGGGCCGGTGCCTCAAGCACTTAACCACATCCTGTGGTGAAGCTGGCAGGGGCAGCTTGCCCTCAAACCTCAGGCCTTCCTCTGAAGCAGCAAGCAGGTTGCTCTTGGCAACCATTTAACTTTTAGAAGAGCAGATGCCTTGTGCTGGAAAGTGCTAGAATTGAAATTCCTTACTTCCTAACATTATCAACCTCAAAAAACGCCATGCTATATATACTCTGTTCCTTGATGAGCTCCATACCTCCCTTCTTCCTCTCCTGACCCACCTTCTTATTTTTCTATCTCCTAAATTAGCAAGTAAGTTCTTGCTAATATTTGTATTTATATACCCCCACACCCAGATAACAGGCCCTGGCTTATCACTTGTAAGGTCAGGTTTAACCTGGCTGCCTCTGTTTAAGAGGAGTGATGGGTGGAAATAACTGCCTAATATTGGTCTCCCTCTCCCTGCGGGGCAGGGTTGGGACCCTCAGGGTTCACTCACCGGGCTCTTCTACCACATACAGGATGGACTTTCCACTGGAGTCTTCATAGTACTGGAATCTGACGACACAGTCCTCCTCATTCTTGTAGGTACAATTCACAGCATCCTTTCCAGTGTCCTCTGGGGGAGGGGGAAAGATGGGAGGATGAAAAACAAGGCAATTCCGGAAAGATGGAGCCACCTCCAAAGCCAGTCATGGGACGTCTGGGAAAGCAGGTGACAGGATGTCACGTACGCCTGACGTCAGGCGAGATGCCTAGATTCGAGAGGGCTGTGGTGCCTGGCAATTGCCTCTGGATGACCCTCGCTGATGTACTTTGTCCCTCACAGGCCCTTTTCGGTTCTTATTCTTTCCTCTGCAAGGGACATGACATAAAAGCATTACATAATCTGATTCAAAACCTGGCTCTATCACCTACCGGCTATGTGATCTTGGCTAAGTTACTTGACCTCATCGAATCTCTCCCTTCTTCTAATCGAAGAAAAGATACCCTCACTCACAGGGATGGTTGAGAATCAAACAGCATGAAGTCAACTACCCAACACACAGTGGGCGTGCCCTTCCCCCTCATTCCTTTCTCTACTTGCTCAATGATTCTCAATAGTTTGTTTACTCAGCCCTTATATTTCTTCTATTTCTGCTTCCAATCCAGCGTTCCTCTCCAGAGACATCTCCTCTTCTCTGACTCCCATCATGTTTTGTTGGCTTCATCCCTTCTAATTCTAAAACCTGTTATTCTGACTGTGAAACTATGGGTTACCCTCCACCAGCTGCACTATGCCCCTACAAGATTAAGCAAAGGTGCCAAGGTCACACAGCAAATAAGTGACACAGCAAATAAGTGATGGAGTAGGACTAGTACATGAGTCTCAAAGTACATCCTACGGACTTTAACTCAATATGCCTTCAGTAAACCAGTAGTATTACAGGACAGTGGAAAGAGTAAGGATTTCAGGATTTAGTTCTGATCTTAACTCACCACTCATTTGCTTGGACAAGTTACTTAACTTTCTTGAGATTCAATTTCCTTATCCTCAAAATGAAGATAACAATAGTACTAAGTTCTACTTTACTAGGTTGTTGGGAGAAGAATAAGATAATGTGCATGAAAAGATACTTTTATAATTTGTATGAGTTATAAAATTCCATACAAAGAAGCATTTATTTTTATGGTTATCATGGTGGGGGGCTGGGGTACTTATCGACTAACTTGGAATACCCATCTGGTCTAGATGATAAAAATATCTCTGGGCTTCCCTGGTGGCGCAGTGGTTGAGAGTCCGCCTGCCGATGCAGGGGACGCGGGTTCATGCCCCGGTCCGGGAAGATCCCACGTGCCGCAGAGCGGCTGGGCCCGTGAGCCATGGCCACTGAGCCTGCGCGTCCAGAGCCTGTGCTCCACAACGGGCGAGGCCGCAGCAGTGAGAGGTCCGCGTATCAAAAAAAAAAAAAAATCTCTTATCTCAGCAGTCTGTTCCATCTAAGCTAATCATAGGAAGCCTGGTCTCCTCCAGAGGAAAAACTGTCTCTTAACTCAATCCCCAAATCACTACCCTCACTCCAGCCCCACTTTTGATAGTAGCCAAAGGGTCCAGAGATCTAACTCCTTCCCATAACACCCCACCCAGAAGCTGGCTGGCTAGCTGTGTCTTACTGTGGCTCTCACTGAAAATGTGTTTCCTGCCTTCATGGGAGATCACCATCTCCAGAGAGATTGCCATCTCCTGGCACCACCCAATGCCTAGCTGGCCCAGATAACCACGTCAGGTATGTGACAGCAGCAAAGATCATCTCCTTTTAAGTCAAGATGAAATACAAACCAGAATAATTGCAGGCAAGAGTTTTGCTCTCCAGCATGTTTCTATCTGTCTTACTCCAGGAGGGGCTCTGGAGAGCCAAAAGGGCTTCAGGCTAATGATTTTGGCTACAAATCCATAAGGGCGAAGGTTTCCCTATAAACCAGCAAAGCTGTATGCCTGGGCATTGCTTAACACTCTGAGTTAGATAAACTTAGTAAATGATTACTAGCCTACTAAGCTAAGATTATCATGGGTAACCACTTCCTCACTCTGTGCCTCAGTTTCTTCATCTGTAAAATGGGGTACATTATCTTCCTTTCCTTGGGGCGGTAAAGTTAGGGTTGCCTGATTTAGACATACTTTAAAGGGTATTTGCAGGATTTTGCTGAGCCCGTGGGCTCTGGGAAGCAGAAGGGGAAGGGACTGCTGAACAGGTAAGTAAAGATGCAGGAGGACTCTCAAGAAAGCCAGCTTTTAAGTGCCTACTGTACATCAGGCCTGCACAACATGCCTTTGAGGTAGGAATTACTCTTCCGTTTTACAGATGAGACTTGGATAGGTTATGGGATTAAATCGGAAAAATTTAGAACGTGGGTGTGTGCAACTGTATGACATGCCGAACTTACTAAGCTCCTTCACAGGCTCAATCTCATCACGACAGTAACGGCTGCAGGTATTCTCCTCGTACAGGGCTCCTCGGTTAAACTTCTTACACTCCACACACTCCCTAAAGGAGAGAGGACATAGGAATGAAGGCAGGGAAAGAACAAACCTCAATGTGTTTCAGTCTGGCTCTGCCTGCCATACACCAGGAAAACTGTTCCACCCCAGAAAACAAACACAAACAAAAACATTTGTAAGACAATCCTAGGGTCCCAGATAGTCACGTCTGGAGTTCGGGGTGGGAGTGCCCTCCTCACCTATAGGTAAGGCCAGGTAACTTCATTAAACTTCTTTATGTCCCATCCAAGACTGTGACAGGAGGGCAAACCCTATGCCACTTCTGGGAGCCTTAAAGTCAGAAATGGTCTCAAAATTTGGGGGCCCGGTGCAAAACGAAAATGTCAGGTTCCTTATTCAAAACTTAGTAGGAATTTCAAAACAGTGACAGCAGAACATTAAACGAAGTGTAGAGCCCTTCCAAGCACGGGGTTCTGTACAAATGTGCAGGTTGCACGCCCATGAATCCAGCTCTGCTTAAAGTAGTAAGAGAAACAGCAGCGCCACAGGCCTGTGCTAGCAGGGACTTCCTCTGACGCCCAGATGAGGCATCATTTGCAGCGGTGAACTTCTCCTGTTTCACATAGTGTCCTGCGTAACCCCAGCCCCACATCCCGCACAGAATCAGAACATGAGCACTGGAACACTCCCCAGGAGTCACCTGGTTTAGCCTTCCTCCCAACTCAGGGATTCAGGATCCAGCCTAAAAGACAGGTTTCTCCAACAGCAGTCCAGCTGGTACTACTCTGTCCCCTTCACGCTTGGCTCTACCTCCAGTTTTTCCCCAAGTTTTCAATGGAAAGAGGAATGCTAGTCATTTGCTGTAACAGACTCCTCTCCCTAAAGCTTTGGTGAGTAAGAGAGAACCTGCACAGTCTGGGGGACCCCCAGACACTCAACTCTCTCCAACTCACTCACTTCTTAAAGGTGCAGGCATCAGGGCAGGTGGGACACTTCTCACAGGTGTCCCCGTAGGAGCCCGGCTGGATGCAGACGCAGCTGCCGCATTCACACTTGCCCCGCCCACTGCACAGCAGCCCATTGCTGGACATGCAGGTGTCCGTGCGTGTGGTACAGTTGCAGTAGTAGCCGGTCCAGTCGGAGTCACACAGGCAGTCCCCACAGCTGCACTGGCCATGGCCTGAAAACACACAGCCCAAAGGGGCAGACCAGCCAGTGAGGCCCCACCCCAGGACAGCATCCTGGCTTTACCCCTCCTAACATTGCCACACTTTCACCCCCACACTGAGCCGTTAATCATCTTCTACAGTCCTCATAGCCTCATGCTTCTCTGCATGCTGTTCCCTCTGCCTAGATGCCCTTTCATCCTGTGACCACTACCAAACTCCTACTCACCCTTTAAAGCCCAACCCAAATGTTCCTTTCCCTCCGTAACTTTTCCTGACCTCCCCAGGCCAGAGCAACTGTCTGTCCATGTGCTCTCCCAGCACTTATAAATACCTCTATTTCAACCCTGATGTTCAACCCATTTGCTTGCTTATCTGTTTCTCTTTCTGGATTGTGAGCTCCCTGATGGGGGAGCACATATCATATTCATTTTTCCAACAATACTGATTAGCATAACATCTGGTACAGAGTAGGCATGCCATTAATGTTTATTTATCCATCCATTCAACAAATACTTACTGAGCTCATACCACAACCTGCGCACTGGAGACTCAGCAGTGAACAAGACATGCAAGGTCCCTACCATCATCATGGAGCTTACATTCTAGTTAAATTCCTGGAAATTCACACAAACCTCCACCAACATGTGCCCTGGGTTGTATTATCATAGTATTGCAAAGAGCCATCAGCCCTAGTAGGAAAGACCTATTCACTTTCCTACATGAGTATAGGAACGGGACAGAGAGACTAGGGTGGGGGGTTGGACGGCTTAAATGTAGGCATTAACTCCCAACACTATATTCCCCTAATATTCATTTACCAATGAATATTGGTAAACTTGGCTCCTAAACCCTACAGAAAGGTGACTCATTCTGCAGGATTCTGAATCAGGAAGAACTGGGTGAACAATAGAAATCTGATTGTTAATCAGAGGAAAGGCAGGGAGCAAGGGGAAAGTAACCTGAATTGGCCTGAAAATCATGCCACTGTGTGAGCAGATGGGCCCCAAGATGGTGGAGGAGAGGGTGGTACACAGCCAGGCTCAAATAGTAACTAGCTGGCAGCCCTGTCCCCGGTGACCCCAGTGGGTCTGATAAATGTCCCTTGGCCACTATGGGTCCCTCTGGATGGGTATCACCCACTAAAGGATGAGTGATACCGGCATAATCCTCTAGGAACCACACCGGCATTCAAGACTCAGACACACCTTCACTGTGTGTGTGTCTGCTTCCCAAGAAGGAAGGGAAATACAACCTCATCTGCCCGAGCTGCCAGGGACATCTAGAGAGTAGAGCTACCGGGTTGGCAGAAGGGTGGAGAAAGAAGAAAGACTGCATTGTGAGGTTGGGTTCCCTAGCAGTATAGCTTGTGGTGAGGATTCTTGTTCCAGTGACTTACTGGGGAAGCAGAAGGGAAGGAGGGACGCAGGACAGGGCAGGAGGCAAAGGCTGGCAGGAATGCGGTCTCATCCGGAGACTCCCCACAGCCTGATCCCATGGTGGGCTCAGGAACGTGAACGGTACCACAATAACCTTGAGGCAAAGGGACTGGCTTTGTGTAACCCCACTGTCTGTCAGTCATTAGCCAAGCTCTGAGAGCAATCCAGGTCCTGTCAGCTGAATATAATTCTCCAGAGAAGGGGCAGCTGTGAGGTATTATCAGTAGCCCTACCAGCAGCTGGGGGATGGGTGGGCCAGCCAGCAGAGTGGGACCCCACAGTGTCCACTACACCCAGCTTCTGGCCACACCTCCCAGATAGGGAAAAGACATCACAGAGGCCTGGCAGCACTCAGAGGCCTCAGTCTCCTCTGAAACGCTTGTCCCATAGTGTTTCCTTTGTGAGGCTAAACAAAGCAATCTTTGAGAAGATTTGTGCAGGCCAGCCAGGGAGTGAGGTTGGGAGTGGAAGTGGCAGGCCAGTGCCACTAGGCTGACTCCAAGGCCCCGGCAGGGTCAACCCTTAAAAGGAAGCCACAGTGTGGTAATGTCACAGGACTGGCACCCCTCCAGCAAAACGGGTTCACAGGAAAGTCAGGGGAGGAGGGTGGGAAATGAAGAGAAAGTGTAAGAAAGAAGAGGGAGGTAGGGAAGAAGGCGGGGGGCGGGGGGGGGTGGTGAGGGAGGGAGGAGGAAAGGGAGGGGCCGGTGTTCCAGGTCAGAAGGAATGAAGTCACTCTCCTTATATAGCTTGACCTTCTGGACTGATGCCTCACTCCACTGCCCTCCTTTATAAGCCAGCCCTTCCTCTGACTTCCCACCTCCTCCATGAAGCCGCCCAGGCCTCCCCTGTCCACAGTGAGTCTCTCTCCGGAGGACTCCTATAACACCCACTTCCAGGATCTGGGAGGTTCTGCCTCGTGCTGTGAATTCTCCTTAGGTAAGTTAATGGAGAGCAAAACTGTCTTTTTCATGCCTCTTTATCCCACAACACTACGGCACACAGCACAGAACCTGGCTCACGTGGGTGCCTGATCAATCTATGTTCGTGGATGTGGCAGGTGGAAGAGTCCCTTGACGACAAGGACGCACGCCCTGACGTTTGAGGGGTGCTGAAACCGTGCGACCACGAAGACCATGCCTCCGGTGGGGAGGAGAGGACAGGGACGTCCAGGGGCTGAAACAATGGCCGAGACATAGTGCTCCTGCCTCATGAGCCCCTGCTTGAGCAAAGAACAGACCAGGGCTTCCCTGGTGGCGCAGTGGTTGAGAGTCCGCCTGCCGATGCAGGGAACACGGGTTCGTGCCCCGGTCCGGGAGGATCCCACATGCCGTGGAGCGGCTGGGCCCGTGAGCCATGGCTGCTGGGCCTGCGCATCCGGAGCCCGTGCTCCGCAACAGGAGAGGCCACAACAGTGAGAGGCCCGCGTACCGCAAAAAAAAAAAAAAAGAAAAAAGAAAAAAAACAGACCAGGCCAGCAGCTCTGGGCAGGGACAATGGTGAGCTGGGCTATAAGCCTGGCCAGGTCAGGAATCATGCATGAGCCCCGTTCACCCATATGGACCGAGTGCCTGGCACAGAGCAGGTGCTCAAGGAGCATGTGTTCCTGACGATCTGTCAATGGAGAATGTGATGATGGTACCACAGGGTCCAGACCTGAGGCCAGCGGGCACCCAACACCCTGGCAGGAAGGGAGAGGGAGGCCTCTGAGAAGCTGCAGCGGCTGTCCGGGGTTCCCTCGTGTAATTGGCAGGAGCACACTGAGGACGGGCTGTTCTTGCACTGCTGGGAGGCAGGAACCAGCGCTGCTGACCCCGGCAGCTTTGTTTTGTGGCTTCAGTGTGGCCGGCAGCCAAAGGAAACACACTCTGGCCGGGGTCCCTCCCACATGCCTCAATCAGACCAGGAACAATCAGGCCACAGAGGAGCAGAGGACCTCCCTCCATCCCTGGTGCCCCCATAGGCTATGCGTAGGCCTCTCCTAGGGTAACGCTCTTCCCCTCAACCCCAAACTTCTCCTCATGGGTCTCCCATGTCAAACTTAACCATTCCCTTTGGAAACTAGAATATGATGTAAATACTATTAAATATTAGAAAGGACTGAAATTTCTGCCTCACACCCTAATTCAGATTGATCTGTGTGTATGTGTGTGTGTGTGTGTGTGTGTGTCTGTGTGTCTGTCTGATCTCTCTTTCCCATAATCTCTCTGATACCATTTTTCTCCAATCTCTCTCTCGAATTTTGTTGGCATGAGTAAAGGAAACAACTGTATAGCACAGGGAGCTCTACCTAATGCACTGTGGTGACCTAAATGGGAGGGAGTCCAAAAGGGAGGGGCTAACTGTGTGTGTGTGGCTGACTCATTTTGCTGTGCAGTGGAGGCTAACACTATACTGTAAAGCAACCATACTCCAATAAAAATTAATTTAAAAAAATGAGTAAAGGAAACAATGTTGTAGATAATAAATAGGAGCCATTTTTGTATTACTTGGGCATGCTTTAGCATGACACACATTTACGTTCCTCATCAGGCTTTCTGAAAGGCTGATGTTAAAGTGAACATCTGGGTAAATTAGCTCAGCTGGTTAGAGCCCCCATGCAAGTGAAGCCAATCTGGGTCATGGATTTGATCACCCCAGAAGCCGATTATAATCTCTCTTTGATTGGCCACACAAGACACCCACAAACCAGTCCCAACCAATTTGCAAATATCTCCAATCTATCTCTCATAAGAGGGATTAAGCCACAGTGACTACACCCCAGCAGAAATGTATCCCCAGTGCCCAGGAACAACTCAGACTGCCTAACTGCCTCTGGGAGTGTTGTCAGTGTGTCTGCAGATAAAGACTACATTAACATTGGCTGGACTTCTTCTAGCTGGCGAAGTACCCCAGGAGTGGGCTTTGGGGCAAGGTGAAACCAGCTTCAGATTACCAGTGGGCCTCAAGATTTTACTGAATTTTGTAATGAGAAGGACAAAACGCAGTACCCTGCAGGTAGAAGGACTCAAATTCCTAACCCCCAATCTGCAGGCTGGGACTCTCTATGGCAGTGCTATCCAATAAACATCTGTGCTGTCCAAAAGGGCAGCCGCTAGCCACATGTGGCTCCTGAGCGACAGAGAAATGAAATTTTTTATTTTTTATTGAATTTGATTTAGATTTAAATGTACTTAAACTTTACTCTTAATTTAAATTTAAATAACCACCATATTGGACAACAGTGATCTCGAGTACAAAAAGTAACAGTATATCAATAGTGATAACAAAATAGTACCAACATTTAATAAGAGCTCACTATTTTCCAGTCATTGTCTAAGGATACTGGCACATTAAATGTGCTCCAATATCTTGCATATACACTACTATTTTCCACGTCTTTGGTGATGAAAAAATAAATTCATGTAAAGTAATTGTTTGAAAATAAATAAATGTTACTAACTTCACTACATATTCTGACATCATGTAGTTTCCAAACCTAGATATACTAAAAATTTAATTACCATCAGTCAGTGATTCTTTTTAAACCTAAAAAGGGGTTGGTCCATATCCTCGAAAAGATTAGGAACCAGTGACAAAATACTAGCAGAAGGGCAGATGAAGGAAAAGAAAAAAAACTATCTTCACTTTCAAGCTTCCCCACGTCTTCCCACCCTCTCCCAGGGGAGAAGCCCCAGGAAGCAGATGCTCATTTCTCTTCCTTGTGCCCCTCGAGCAAGGGCAGAGGGAGCTGAGAGGATTAAAGAGAAACTCATTTCTGTTTCCTGCCGTTGGAGTGGCACACCATCTACTCGCTCTGCCCCGGGCCTTCCTGTGCCCACCTCAAGCCCTGGCCTGCATCCATTTCCAGAGGCTGCAGATGTGTGAGTGTGTGGGGGTACCAGGAGGGGAGGGGTGTGCAGTTCTACTCACCTGAGCACATCTCCCCCTTGTAGCGGACACAGGAGAAGTCATCACACTCGCAGTACTTGCCCGTGATCTTGCCAAAGTCACTGCTATGGCAGACGCACTGGCCACAGAGACACTCGCCCCGCTGGCTGCAGATGGGCTGGCCCTCCCGGGGGCTACACTCGTCCTGCTGGGAGGGACGGTAGTCCTCTTCTGAGCACTCACACTGGGACCCCAGCCAGCCAGGCCCGCAGCGGCACACCCCACACTCAAAGGTCCCGTTGCCGTTGTTGCAGTGGTGGCTCTGAGGCTCAGCCTGGGCCTGGCAGGCACAGTCACAGTCGAAGGTGACCTGGACGGTGAGGCTGTCTTTGAAGCCCACAGGCTTGATGGTGAAGGACTTCTCCTTCTCCTGGGGGCAGCCACGCACCTTGGCCTCAATGCTGAAGCTCACCTGGATGGAAAGTAAGATCGCATTCAGACACAGGTGGACCCTGTTGATACTCCAGCCCTGGAGGGAAAGAAGCTGTTCCCTGCCCTGCCCAGGAATACCCAAACTGGGTGTCCTGTCCCCCAGCAAGCTGGAGTTCCTCAGCCTTCCCACCACCACGGTCTGCAAAGCCAAAGCAAGAGCCTGGGGATAGTTGTGCAGTTGGGACATATCTGGCTGGGTGTAGACATGGTTTACAATCACAAGATAGCTTTTTTCTAAAATTCCATACGTGAAAATAAACCAGCTCAAGCAGAAAAGAACCTTTGATCTTACAAACGCTCTGCCGTGGCCAAATAAGCTAGCGGGACTGATTACGTAATATCATCAAGATATACAAAGCACTATTTCACACCACACAGTGGCCAACCACAGGCTCTGAGTCTACTGTGCAATTTCCACAAAACATTTCATCACTTATGCAATCAAACATGTTTCAGGCCAATATTTTTTACATAGGGTGTGTGCACATGTGCCTAGAAGATAGAGAGATGGATGGATGGAAACAGATACATAGACAGAGATGATGTAGATATAGATGATATAGCTATAGATATCCCCTCTTTTTTTCCCACCCCTTTCACCAACCCCTCTCCCCTAAGGCAGAAGCAGAGAAGAACCAGCCACTAAGGAAGGAAAACTATAGACGGACTGGAGAGGCAAAATGAACATTTGCATTCTGACGTTCCAGGAGGGTGGGTATTTTGTGTGTGTATGTGTTTATTTTTTTTCCTTTTAATTTTTATTGGGGTATAATTGATTTAAAATGTTGTGTTAATTTCGAGGGTGGCTATTTTTTTTTTTTTTTTTTTTTGCGGTACGCGGGCCTCTCACTGTTGTGGCCTCTCCCGTTGCGGAGCACAGGCTCCGGACGCGCGGGCTCAGCGGCCATGGCTCACGGCCCAGCCGCTCCGCGGCATGTGGGATCTTCCCGGACCAGGGCACGAACCCGTGTCCCCTGCATCGGCAGGCGGACTCTCAACCACTGCGCCACCAGGGAAGCCCAAGGGTGGCTATTTTTGCCTATTCTGTTTGCTGCCAAATCTTCAGCAGCTGGAACAATGCCCGGCACAAAGTCGGTGGTCAATAAATATTTATAGATGACACTGCTGTTTTACCTTGTGAAGCAAAGAAAGGCATTACCTTAGGGGAGGCTGGAGACCAGTTAGGGGCTGAAGGTAGAAATATTTTCATTTGCAATCAACTGTGCATAAACAGAGGTAACCTAAACGCAAGTTTTTAAAAATCCTGATGGTGAAGTTACTTAACAGATAGAGAAGGTTTAGGCAACAGAAGCCTCAGAGGAAAAGGCTGGCAGCTCCATTACATCTAACTTGTAAGGACGTTCAGAAAGAAGGTACAGGGAAGGAAGGGGTGGGTGCCCACAGACGCTCTGGGGCACAGGCTAAGGTCAGAGCTGCAGCCTCAGCCCCTGCCCAGTCCACCTCACCGTGTCTCCAATCTTGAGTCCGACACAAGACTTAAGGCCTGGGATGACCTCGTTGTTGAGACAGGTGGCGTTGAAGGATAAGGACAACTCCTCAGGGAGGTCACGCACTTCCAGCTCTACTTTAGAGCGGATTTTCTGAGCAGAAAAGGGCAAGAGAAGATAAGAAAATGGGCTGAGAGGAAATGAGTAGGAGCCAATTACATCCCAAGCAAAACCTCCCAGATGGTCCTGGACTCACCTGCAGTGCCAGATGCTGAGGTCCACCTGCAAGCTGCCAGAGCATCCCTAGGAGCCTGTTTCCTGCTATATTTCCAGCCCAAGACATGCTCTCTCTCTTTCTCCACTTGCTTCTAGGTGAGTCTGGGTAAAATCTAAACCAGCTACGCCCTCCTGCAGGCCTCACGGACGTGTGAGAAGGGAGTGCTAATACTGGTCACCTTGGCTAGTAGCACTTTCTACCTGATCTTTCATCAACCTCACATTCCCCATGGTTCAGCTCCCTCTCTGCTCTATTGTTGGAGCCCAGATCTCCATCACTCTGCACCCGCCCCCCTCAATTTCAGGGCCCTGCTCGTCCTCATCACCATCCCCATCCTCTCTCTTCCACCTTCTCTAAGCTCTTCCCCCATTGTTCCTAAGCCTCCTTGGCGTTCCTTTCTGAGCCGTTTCTATCTCAGAAGGCTGCAGTCCTCCCAGTGCTGGCTATCACTTCCTGGCCTCTGGAAGAAGAAGAGGAAGGCGGTGAAAGCTGCATGGTGGACTTGCAGCCAGGACTCCCAAATCTGAGCCCTCCTGGGTAATGCCAAGTGAAGTGGACTCTTAGCAGGCCCATTCCCAGTGTAAGACACTTACCCCGTAAGCATCAACAATGAGCTGGAGGACATTGCTGGAATCAGTAGATAGAACCCCCACTGTGGTCCCTGGGATGAGCTCACTATAGTTCTAGAAAGGAAGACAGAGATGTCCGGGGATGACTGATGAAGCTGGTGGTCTCCAAAAGCCCTCCCCAAATCAGACTGAGGGTCTTGAAATGAAACTTGAGGGAAGGATGGGATTTTTTTTTTTTTTTTTTTGCGGTACGCGGGCCTTTCACCGCTGCGGCCTCTCCCGCTGCGGAGCACAGGCCCTGGACACGCAGGCCCAGCGGCCATGGCTCACGGGCCCAGCCGTTCCGCGGCATGTGGGATCCTCCCGGACCGGGGCACGAACCCGCGTCCCCTGCATCAGCAGGCGGACTCTCAACCACTGCGCCACCAGGGAAGCCCAGGATGGGATATTTTACTTGTCACTGCCAGGAATATATCTAGCAGTTTTTCAGCACTGAGCAAAATTATAGAGAACCTCTCACACCCCTCTCCCCACTGAATTACTCCCCTCCACCACTGCAAACATCAACACACCTATCCTGCTAGGTTCAAAGTTGGAGGAGAGAGACCATCGAGAGGAATCATTAGCTCCTGGGTCTTTCCCAGTTAGGGACCGTGGCCAAAGCTGGTGTGGGCTGGTTCCCTGAGACAAGTCCACCCATCACAGGCCCCACTCCCACTCCAGGAAGCCCCAAAGGCATAGTCACCTGGTAGAGATTGACTACATTTTCAGTCACTGCAAAGATCAAATTGATGTTTTTCTGGGACAGCTTCTCAGTCATCAGCCCCAGAGAGGGATAATCCTATGAAAAGAGAGGATGTGATGGTTAGTTAAGAAGCCTATTCACATACATCCATGGATTCTAAGCCTTAGGACTTGGGTGGTTTGGGCCATGGCCCTGACAGTGGTGGGATTTAAACCTTTTCACCCCACGACAATGTGAGGCAAACACAAACCCAGTTGTGAACTCTAAGGATAGATAAAGAGGTACAGGCTGGTAGTGACAAAACTAAGCACCTCTGTCTTCCTACTCAAATTCAGTGCATTCGTACCAAGGAGCAGCTTCCACAGGTCAGGTGCTGCCAGACCTCGTTGTTTTGAAGCTTCCTCCCATTCTGCAGCTACTGACAAATGCCTTGGGTTGTTGCTTGCAATCCTTCACCATGTGGTCTCAACCTTCCTTTCCAATCATTCACCTCTCTCCCCCGTCTACTTACCACCGAGCTGGCCCACTGTCTTTCTCCCACCTCGAGTGGCCTTCTTTTTGGTAATGCTCCTCCTTCCTTAGGACCCAGCTCAGGTCCCACCTTCTCCAGGAGGCCTTCCCTGATCATCCCAGTTCATGACGAGCTTTCCTCTTTTGAATACCTAAAATCCTCATCAACTATTCTATCCAGTTAGCAGTAATCATGCATCTTCTGTTATTGGTACCACATCTCCTCGAGTAAACCAAAATCTCCCTAAGGGTGGGACGTTATATAGTCTTATTATCTCCCTTGGCCCCTGGTAAGGTCCTGCATAGACTAGGTGTCAATCGTTACAGACTCGCCCATTGCCTGGTAGTGCTCAACCTGTATATGGCTGACACCAAAGAATTCAAGCCAAAATGGGGGTGCTGGTAAATTATGAACATGTCCCTGGAATCCTAGACCTTTCAGGGAGCTCATGAGATCATGCAACTCAGGCTCCTTTTCACAGATGTACCTTTAAGCCACCTAGATGAGGTAGTTGCTACATTGTCTTTAAGAAATGAAGAGTTCACACCTCCCTCTAGATACTCAGAGTGGCAGCATGCTGCAGGGCTCTACGTTCTCTTTACGGCTTACTGCAATTTCTCCTGTTTCAATGTAATCTCCTCTCCTCTTATTTAACCTTCCATGGTTAAATGAAAACAACTTATACAGAAAACAACTTATAAGAAGTCTTCTCATACAGAGCAGTGATTACCAGAGGGGAAGGGGCTGTGGGGAGGGAGAAATAGGTAAAGGGCATCAACTGTACGGTGACAGATGGAAACGAAATTTCTGGTGGTGAGCACGCTGTAGCGTACACCAAAGTAGAAATATAATGTTGTACCCATGAGACTTATATAATGTTATAAACCAATGTTACCTCAATAAAAAATAAATTAAAAAAAAAGTCTTCTCATGTATCAGCTAAAGCATCCTTTAGCCTTCTTTTATTCCAGCTAAATGACTCTGAGCCCTTTAACGTTTCCTCACAGGACTGGCTTTCTATGCTTTTGATGATCTTTGTCTCTTTTTCCTCTGTCTTCTTCCAATAACCACAAGTGAGCATGATATTCCAAGAAGGGGCTAATCCATGCACAGTCGACAGGATGGCCTGCTTTCCAGCTGGACTTGCAAAAGTCCTCTGGGTCCACTCTGGATGCCATGACGATGCTGCTGGTGCTGGAGGCAGTGGTAACACCGACCACAGTCAGGACCATCTCTAATGGCTGTACAGGTGGTACCCTGGATGAGGGTGTCCAGTAGGCGGGAGAGGTGAGGGTGGGCTGAAAAGAGCCCTGAGCCTTGCCCAGAGGAAGGGCTGCCATTTTCACATTCACACAAAGACTGCCTGGGTTAGGGCAGTCCTGGCCATAGTGAATAGGAACCATAGGTGGTACCGAGAATCTCACCATGGTAGTGGAGGCAGCATAATGGTTGTCACTGCCCACATGACACTGCCCATCGTTGGGCTGGACAATGCCTGCCAGCCTTCCATCCAGCGCTATATGGGTCTTGGCATCAGTGGTAAACACCAGCAAGTGGGAGGCATCATTCCTCCAGCCAATCTTCTCCTGTTAAAAAAAAAAAAAAAAAGGCAAAAGAGAGACAGCCACTTTAGCCATGTCACTGGTACAAAACAAAGACCCAAGAAGCTCCCCATCTGAAGGGCTAGACAAGTTGTCTTGGAGAAGGGCCTCAGTCCTAGTCCTTGGAACATAAGCTGGAGTTTTTCAACTCAGGGGTTTCTGTTCTCTTAGGAAAACAGTCTCAGGGCTCATTACTTCAAGCAGCTGAAAGACACCTACTTCAACTCCAAACAGAACTTCTTCAGTGATAATCACATGGCCCATCTAGAAACCCATCTGCATCCGCAGAGCTGGGTTGGGCTAGAAGAAATCCCATCTGGACATCTGCCCACTTTGCCGAGGTTAGGTGAACCCAGCCTTGACTCTGATACACTTCCAGAGAAGATCCTCTTCCCAGGAAACATCTGGGACCACTGAGGTTCCCAAAAGTATCAGCTCCGGCCAGGGAGCGGATACAAGCAGAGGCTGCTGATCGGGAGCAACCTGTTGCTCAAATTGTACAAAGCTCTGCCTAGTTCCTATCTCGTAGTTCACATAGAAATCCCCACAGTTGAGCCACTTCCTTCCCCGTTTTGATCTGCACCCCCACACCTGGCACTCCATGCCCTCCAAACCTACATCACAGACGGTAGCCTGCATGATGGCATCAAAGCCACCCTCTGGGGCATCTCGGTTTCGTGACACACTCTGCTTCTTCACCTCCTCATTGAAACGGGTCACCTGGTCAGTTAGCGTCAGCACGTGTTTGTAGCCAAACATGGGCAAACAGGTGGTCTTCATACTGGGGAGGGAAGGAATGATTTAAGCAGACATCTGATGGAAAAGGCTGCATGGGGAGTGGGAGGGAAAAGAGGGGGACAGATATAGACAGTGGAATGCCCAGGCGAGTTCTATACAACTACCATTACCCAGACAGGTTAGACTCCAAACCCTTCAAATTACCTAGGCATCACATTGACCTAATCTCTAGCTAGATCAGAGGATAAGGGAGTGAACTGTGGAACCAGACTACCTGGGTTCAAATCCCAGCTCCTTGACTTACTAGTCATGGAACCCTAGGCAAGCTTCTCTATACCTAACCTATAAAGAAATGGGGACATGATAACACATATCTCATAAGAGTTGTGAGGCTTAAATGAGTTAATAGATGTAAAGCTTTTAGATCAGAGTGAGGCTCTAGTTGTTGTTGCTATCACTTTATACTTAACACTTCTCTAAAGTAACATTAACACAACAACAAAGCAAAAGTTCGTCAATAACTTAATGTCCCTGAACTACCAATAAATTGATAGCTCTGTGCCAAACAGGAGCATTTCTGTCCCCAGTCCAATGGTTTGTTTAACTGATGGCTGACACAATTTCTGGGGAACCTTACAATCCAGACAGAAGGTTAAAAAGGCACATCATATAACTCTCGAATCTAAAAAGTAAATTCATACCTTGTCAGGCCCGGTAACCATCATTTTAAATTATAATCCATGGATTTGCATAGTCTCCAACAAATAAATAAGCCATTCAGTTGTAAGTCCAACTCTCAACAGAGGGACACATCAACGTATGCTATTAGAGCGTTCAACAAATATCATTTCCACTCTTTCCTATGCCTCTAGGACTTAATTCCTTGCATTTTAACCCTGCAGGACTCATATCCTGGATAACGAGGACAATAGCAATGGAATCAATCATTCTGAAATCGTAACTCCTCTATCTACTTACACTATTTATTCGTGGCCTAGACCAAGAAGCTGATGGATTTCCTTTCTAGGTCTCCAAACAGTCTTGGACTCTCCTAATACAACACTCCAGATCAATGGGTTGGCCCACTTGCCGGACAGAGAGACCATGGTAGAGAGGAGATATGATTTGGCCAGAAGGCAGCCAACAAAGCTACCCTAGACTAGAAAGAGGAAGCAGGACTTGGATTTGTCTGGGGCAATGGGGAGAGATGCTGCCCTGGCTTCTAGAAGAGAGACTTACTCATAGCAGGGGTTTCTGAGGGCCTCTGGTGGGGAGATGTACATGTATGGTGAAACGGGCTTGTCCACAAAGGCCCCGAAGCCAATCCGCAGGTTACTGGTGAGCTTACGCATCTGGGAGGCCAGCTTGGTACCCAGGTTCTGGATGCTCCACAGATCGTCCTTCATGGAATAAGACAGGTCCATTAAGTAGTAGATGTCCACGGGGTAATCCTCCACCTGCCGAACTTGGACGGAGAAATTCTTCGAATCATCTGCAAGGTGGAAGGACGTTAATTCTTCTCCTCTTCTCCCTCTAAGGCTTAAGTAGATTTGGACACAGCTGGGATGAAGTAACTTTTTTTTTTTTTTCCTCACCACTCGTCTTGCGGGATCTTAGTTCCCCGACCAGGGATTGAACCCGGGACCTGGCAGTGAAAGCGCCAAGTCTTAACCACTGGACCTCCAGGGAATTCTCTGAAGTAACTTTTTAATCAAACCAAACTTGAAAGCCCTGGTCCCTTTTCCTCTCCCCTTGCAATTCTATACCTCTTCCAATCTCTTGACCCTCCTACTTTTAACCTCTTTTTTTTTTTTTGCTGTACGTGGGCCTCTCACTGCTGTGGCCTCTCCCGTTGAGGAGCATAGGCTCTGGACGCGCAGGCTCAGCGGCCATGGCTCACGGGCCCAGCCGCTCCGCGGCATGTGGGATCTTCCCGGACCGGGGCACGAACCTGTGTCCCCTGCATCGGCAGGCGGACTCTCAACCACTGCACCACCAGGGAAGCCCTTAACCTCTTCTTTTCCATTCTAAAAGTCTCCACCCTCTCTAAATCCTCATCTGTCTAGTCCTCTGGGTCCCAAGGGTCTACCACCCTGAGTCACAGAAGTGTTGGCAGTTATTACACTTCAGACTCTGTAAAAGGTGGGAACTATGTCCCACCCTTCTCTGAATCCCATAGTAACCAATATATGCCTTGCACGTAGAAGGTACTTTCTTAAATTCTTGACTTAATTGAAAAGTCAAAATGAGTGCTTCCAAAAAGCCTGTCTCTGGACTTCCCTGGTGGCGCAGAGGTTAAAAGTCCACCTGTCAACGCAGGGGACACGGATTCAATCCCTGGTCCGGGCAGATCCCACATGCCACGGAGTAACTAAGCCCGTGAGCCACAACTACTGAGCCTGCGCTCTAGAACTGGTAAGCCACAACTACTGAGTCCACGTGCCACAACTACTGAAGTCCACATGCTGAGAGCCCATGCTCTGCAACAAGAAAAGCCACCGCAATGAGAAGCCCGCGCACTGCAACAAAGAGTAGCCCCCGCTCGCTGCAACTAGAGAAAGCCCACATGCAGCACAAAGACCCAACGGAGCCAAAAATAATTTTTTTTAAAAAAGCCTGTCTCTTAGCCTAATCCTTCCCCCCTCTGAAGGTCTCCTGCCCTATTTTCTCTGCCCCCATGCATGCCCTGCCCCAATCTTACATGGAAAACGAGCTTACAAGTTGCTTTCTCATCTTAGACTCACTTGAGCCTCAATAAAAAGCTATACGCTGGGTAAAACAGGCATTGGGGGAAAGAAGAAACAAACATTTTTTGTGTACCTACTAAGTTAGAAGGGTTAAGTAACTTGCCCAAAGTCAAATAGCTAATATATGGAAGAGTTAAGATTCAAACTCAGATCTTCTGACTTCAAGTCCCCAAACCTTCCACTTTCTTCCATTCTCCTGCCCACACTTCCCTCCACATCCTTCTCTTCCCACCCCAATTCCACTGTGAGCTACTTCTGCAGGATCCCCACCTGGCCGTAGCCGGAGTGCAATCCTCTGGGGACTGACTTGAGTGATCTGGGAGCTGTCTCCAGAGCCCTTGTCACTGAGGGGCCTGGCCTCCAGGATTCTGGCCTCGCTGATGGGGAACTCGATGGACTCCAGGGCGCAGTCATTCTTCAGCAGATTCTCCTTCAGGTTACAGCGGGGCGAGCCCGGAGGCAGAGCCTGTAAGACGAGACGAAGCCCTGTGATCAGAGCTACAGTGGTTCTCTGCTTCCTGCAGGCTCTGCCACATCCCAGCAGCCTAGAGCTTACCCAGCACTTTGGAGCTAAACCAACATAAATGAACTCATGTGGTCCTTCCTAAGATAGCCCCTAGGCCTGTTGTACAGAAGGGGGAGACTGAGGCATCAGAAAGGTTGGGTGAGTGCCTGCTCATGGATGGGTAGGTAGGAAGAGGAACAGTACAATAAGAGGCCTGTTGGACCAGTGTTTTTCAAACTGTAAAATGCAACCCACCTGTGGGTCTCAAAAATCAATGTAGTAGGCCTCAACCACCAATTTATTAAAATGCAACATAATAGAATAGAAAGTATCAAAGTGTGTAAGTGGTAAAAGTAAATATTGTTTTGGGAAAGGTTTATTTATTTTTTAAGTTTAAATCTTTTTTAAGCTTCTTTTTTTTAATATTTAGTTTTTATTTTATTCATTTATTTTGGCTGTGCCAGGTCTTAGTTGTGGCACAAGGGATCTTCATTGTGGCAGGCGGGCTTCTTAGTTGCAACATGCGGGATCTAGTTCCCCCACCATGGATCAAACCCCGGGCCCCCTGCGTTGGGAGCGTGGAGTCTTACCCACTGGACCACCAGGGAAGTCCCAGGAAAGGTTTATATGTTGGGGAGTAGGGTATAATATGTATAATAAATAATGATAACAATGTATGTCTTTCTGTAGGTGAGGGTCAAAACAGTTTGGAAGGCACTGTGTTAAAACACTGGCTGGGGTGTGAGATCCACGAGGGCAGGGACTATGTGTGTCTCATTTCCCCTCTATTCCCAGCACACAACGCGAGACTGACAACTAAGTGATGGGGGAGGATATGGGGAAGCAGCAGAGAGTAGGCGCTGAGAGCACGGATTGGCTGAGACTATATCTCAGCATTGCCTCTTACTAGCTGGTTACTAGGGCGAGTCACCTAAACTCTCCAGGCTTCGTTTCCTCATCTATAACATGAAAATAATAATAGCCCCAGCTTCACAGGGATGTTCTGCAAGACCATATAAGACAGTGTGTGTAAAACACATAGCACAGTGCCTGCCATAGTGTAAATGCTCAATAAATCTTAGCTATTATTGTAAGATGTTCTATAAATAGTTCCTGGATAAATTAATTTTGAATAAACTTCACAAGCTTAGGCAAATCCCATGATGTCAAGCCACTGATCAGAGCCTGTCCTATCACTTTCAGTTTCCTCCCTCACCCTGGCCAAATGGCAGACTGAGTGCCCTTCCAAACACCCCGGTGTGTATCCCACAGCCCTCTGGGGCTTGGTGTGTGTTTCCACCTGAGTATTGAACGGGGGACATGCTGCACTGGAATGAACGCTAGAAATCAGGAAATGGGTTCAATCCTAGGTCTGCCACTAACCAGCCTGTGACCTCAGATAAGTCATTTCACTCCACGGAGCCTCAGTTCCCTCACCTGTTCACCCCTGTTAAAGGGGTTAGATGACATGGCGTTCTCAGTCCCTTCCTGCTCTGACATTCAGCAAACTTAGCCAGCACCGTGTGGGCTCAAGCCCATAAGGGCTTCTTGCCAGGCTGGGGGAACTGCTGCAAAGCTAGAAAACCCCTCCTTGGACCTATTTCGAAATATCTAGGCCTTCAACCCCACAATCCCCCACACCCCTACCCACCCCCTCTCACAACCACTTCCAGAAGTCGGCTGAATAACCCACACCGATATCCCAGAGCAGCTAGTGTTAACATTTATGGAGTACTCGCTGCATGTCAGGCACCGTAAGAAGCACTTTACACGGATTACTGCAATCCTCCTGATCACGGCTCTGTAATGCTGGAATTATTATTATTTTACAAATTACAAACCTGAGGCTTGGAGGTTTCACAAATGAGGAACCCAATCTTACAAGTAAGAAATCGAAGGTTTGGAGAAATTAAGTATTTTGCCCAAAGCTACAGAGCTAAGAAGTGGCAGAAGTGAGACGCTGACTGGATTGTCTGACTGTAATTATCCTCATAAAATGGTACGTTGTATTGCATTCTGTGTAGAGCGGGAATCAAGGCAGAGAAGCAGGAATGTAGAAGAAACAGTCCCGGGAAGAGCCACACCTGAGAATGCACCAGGTAGGGAACAGGATGCAAGATGGGGATACGGGAGGTGTGGGAAGGGTAGATAACATTCTGCCTCCTCAGCCCCTCAGGTGACTGGAAGCTATGTTTCCAGGAGAGGGACTGGGCCACAAGGAGACATCCATACTCAGAAACTCAGGACTCTGTAGCTTAAACCCCTCCCGATGCTCGACGCCCCTCTCCCACTCCTGCCCAGCCCTCCTCTGATAGGCAGAAAGGCTTCCCCATGTGGATGGGACCATGAACAACACCAACAGTACTACAGACTGAATGTGTGTCCCCCCAGAATTCATATATTAAACCCTAATCTCCAAGGTGGCGGTATTAGGAGGTGGGGTCTTGGGAGGTGACAGGTCATGAGGTGGAGCCCTCGAGAATGGGATTGTGCCCTTATTTTAAAAGAAGGCCCCAGACACCTCCCTGGCCCCTTCCACCATGGGAGGACACGGTGAGGAGATGGCCATCGATGACACTGAATTTGCTGCTACTTTGATCTTGGACTTTCTAGCCTCCAGAACCGTAAGAAATAAATGTTTGTTGTTTAGCCAGCCTGCCTGTGGTATTTTTGCTACAGCAGCCTGAACGGACACAAATGGCATGAGGACCGCCCTAGCCCGGGCAAAATGTGGAAAGAGCTTCCAGAAGCCAGCAGCTTCCTTCTTCCTCTTCACGGGTCTGAGGTAGAGGAACGGCATCAGCAATGGGAAATGGTACATGAGACTTAATCTCCCTGGTTCAGAAGATCCCAACAGGACATCAGAGCTCCTCAGAGAGATGAAGATGCCCTCCCCTCACCCAGCCAGGTCCCTCTGCCAGGGACAGAATGGCAGAAGGGAGAACTCACGAACACTGTACGTTTTTGTGCCCCAATTCTTGCTGCTTCTGTCCATCTCTCCCAACCCTTCTCTCTCAGGAAGCAGTCTCTTTCTTGCTCAAAAAACTCCCTACTGTATCTCTGATTCCAGGGTCCCACAAAACCCCAGAGAGAAAACCTTCCAAAAAAGGCAATGATTGGATGGACCGAGATGCCCTGAGTTGCTGATCCTTTCCAGGACTAAGGCAGATGCTGAAGGAGAGAGAGGGAAGGGGGAGACCAGGAAACAATGAGAACAGCAAGGCCATCATGTATCTTCAGGCTGCATCGGTGAAGGGAGAGAATATCTTGGCGGGGGTTTCCTGACCCCCATTTCCTAACGTGGCAGTGTTTATTAGAAGAAAGTTTGAAGTGCCAAGCCTTGCTGACAGTGCTTATGGTTTGTTATGAATTTCCGAAGAAATCTAAACACTGAGAAACAAAAACTGTCTCCTTCCCTCCCTCTCTGGTCGCTGACATCAGGGGTCAGGAACATAACAGGCCTGCTCCTCAGCCACGCTCGCCCTGAGAGCCTGCTGTCCCAAAAGGACACCAAGGCACTGACCTCAACACATCTGGGCCACATTCCTTTCTTAATAACCCAGGCTGAGAAGGTAAAAGGAATGTGTCCAGGTTACTCAGAGAGAAAGCTGGAAGGAGGGGGGGAGGAGTGTTCAAGTTCCAGTTCCCAGTGAAACCAGATGTTACACAAAAAGGGCAAAGATAACCAAGACCCAGGGGAAGAGCCAGAGCACAGCAGTGGGAGGTCCCAACCCACGTGCAGTGTGAGCTGAATTCCCGCCCTCTCCTGGCGGAAATTCAACTCCTAGTCCCATTCTCCATTAATCCCATTTTAGAAACTGGGAAAGGACAGCATGAATAACTGTCATTATTCTACTTATTTCACAGGGTGGGACAGGGGATAAAGCTGTGAATGGGAAATGCTTTCAAAATATAAAAATCTCAACGAAAGTCAAATATACTCAAATCCTTTTGATCTGATATAAACAAATAGATTCAAATAGGCGACTCTTTTCTACTATTACCATTCTAACTACTGCTATTATTGCATACTCTTTCTTGGAGGACAAGGAACAATAGGTCGTGGTACATTTTATTTCCCCAGAGTGCTAAGAAATGCCTCCAATCCAAAAGAATGAACATGGTTCTCTTGACATCTGGTAAGGACAAGAAATCACTTGAACATAGAGAGAGAGAGGTGTGGAGGGGACAGAAAGGAGAGGAAAAGGAAAGCATTTTAGTTTATGGTTATTGATACTCACACCCCACTGTTTACAGAGGGAGGAGCACTTTTAATATTATGCCTTTTTTTATGATAACAAATTGGGGCAAAACACTCAAGATGAGAGTTTGCCCTCCAGATTAAGAAAAAAAATAGGAAGAAAGAAAAAGCAGCAGAGAAGTGAGAATGAAATGATATTAGTGACTAAATAGGAATTAAACAGTGGCCTAAACCTCCCCCCACCAAAAAGGCAGAGAAGAAAAATGAGAAGTAAGTCCTATTAAAGTCTTCTTCTTTGTGGAATCCAAACACTTTCTTCTTGTTTTATCCATGGATGTCAGGCTGAGTGTGAGCAGGTCTACCTTCTGACGTGCACTCACGACTATAGAAGAATTCCTAGTATTTCTCTCCACATTAGGGTTGCCAAATTTGGTAAATATTTGGGATATACTTATACTAAAAGTATTTGGGACATACTTATACTAAAAGTATTTGTTGTTTGATTCAAATTTAACTGGGGTGTCCTGTATTTTATCTGGCAACCTTAACTCCAGCTCCACCCATCATGACCCCAATGATCAGCCCCTTCAATTAGCAATATTTGCCAAACTTGCTATTGTAACAACCCATTCTGATGCAATAGGTTCAGGGTCCATCCTGGAAACCCTTATATTTAACAAGCACCCTAGGTGATTCTTACCAGCAGGCAAATTTGGAAGGTTCTAGATCCCAACATGATGCCACGAAGGCCAAGACCACAAGTTGAACCTCTCTGTGAAGCCAGCCTCTCTGCTAGATTCACAGTCCAGAGACAGCACACCACCCCAACCCATATCAGTATCCAGTCCCCCAAGAACACACCCTATGCAGATGAGCCCAAAACTCTGCACTCATCCACATTGGCTATGTTTTCCTATTACCCAGCCAAGGGCTTGCTATCCACACCCAGAGCTGCTGTCCTCCAGGACCAGGGAAAGCTGAGCCCAACCAGTTGTTTTTCCAGGCACTGCCAACTCTGCCTGTAACAGCCAAGGTAGGAGAGGCAGGAGCAGAGGGCTCTCCAGGATTGATTATTCAACAAATCACATGCAAAGTGGCCCAGATGGTTCACTTTTGGTTTTTAAAATCAACAGCCAAGACACTTTCAGCAGTTAAACTTGGTCAGTGCAGGGGAAGCCCTCAGGAAAAAAACAGCAGTCCTGTTCAAGTTACAGTCCGGGATTCCCACCTCCCATTTCTCCCTGGTTGACAAATGTTAACCCACACTGGCCTCCTCTGCTACCCTTCCTCCCCTATTAGAGAGATAATTGTAGTCATTCACTAAGCCCTTGGCCCTCCCACTTCCCCAGGGTGCTGAGAACTCAGCAAAGGCCAGGAGGATGCTTCACTAACTTCCTGTGTCCCCCTCCCCCTCCCTAGGTCCTGTCCACTGATTCAATCCAGAGCAATAAATCTGACTTTATCACTCAAAAAAACCAAAAACAAAAAAAACACTTTCCTTTTTAAATTCCATCCTCCTAGAAAATATCTTATTGGACCATCTATCGCCTCTCATTAGTTTTCTTTGGTCCTGGATACACCCATCTTCTCTCTGACTCCATCCCCCATCCCTAGGCTAGTCCTACATTATATTTTGATCCTACCTGGTACCTTTCCCACCCTCCTTCTTCCCTCCTCCCACCTTGGTATGCCCCACGGGAAAAAATTCACCACGGCCATCAATAAATATTCTATATATATCTCCAAATTCTGGTCACATGACCTAAGGGCTTTGTCTGGTCAGGCCTCAGCATGGCCTCAGCAGGCCAGTTACCTGGCTTGTTCCTATGCAGATCAAGACAGGTGACAGACATTCCAAGAATCCCAGACTCCTCTGAACCACAGTTTCTCCATTTTGTCTTGCTTTGGGTTGAAGAGAGGGGAGCATCTTTTGAGTGATACTAGGGCTTCTGCCCTGGCTACCCCTCTGCTCCAACCAGCTACAGGCCATCCAATCCAATGAGGCGCCCTCCCCATCCAGCTTTCCCTTCTTTGAGGATTCAGCTGCAGAATTCCAACCTCCTCGTAAAAGAAGCTTAATAATATCACGATGGTGACCAAGGGAAGGAGCATACGGCAAATGAGAAGGGAGGAGGCCACATCACACTCGAGCAGCCAGTTCAGCCCAGAGGGGTGGAGAACCTGCGGGGGTGGAGGGGAAGGGCTCACTCAACCCAGCCCCACCCCCAACTCCCAGCCCCAGGGAATATCTCATTTGCTAAATGAAGTCAATGTGGCCCAGATGTTGGGCAGCTGCCTCTGGAAGCAGTTCTCTTGCTGAACTGCTCAGAGGCCAAAGCAGTGTGCTGGGCTGGCCTCTGTCGTTCTGGCTGTCCTCTCGTTGAGGGATAAACACAGCCTCTCGGCTCCCACCCCCCACCAGCCTTCCAGGGAGGTTGCCTTTTTAGGAAACTCAGTAGATTGGGAAGAGAAGCGGAGAGAATGAGGGCCTGAGTCAGAGCAGTCACGGAGCTGCAGAGGGCAGGGACAGAGAGGGCACCTCAGGTGGCTGACACGCAGCCAGGCCAGGAGCTCAGGTAACCACCTGCCGGGAACCAGGCCCATGACTCAGCCCCAGACTCTGTGATCACTGGACCTTCTCCAGCCACACTCACCCCCCAGCTCTTGCCAGCTCCAAATTCCCATCCCAGCCACAAACACAGCCATTCCCTCAGACACACTCACTCCCTAGGGCCCCAGACACAACAAATCGTCTGCCTAGACACAGCTAACCCTCTCCTGTCACCCTCCCGGCCTCACCAAATTGGCCCAGCTCTTTCTTTCATTGACACCTTCCCAAGAGAAGGAAGGAAGGAGAGGAAGAGGAGAAAGAAAGGGGAAAATGTAAAGCCATGGGGGTCCAGTCATCAGACAGGAAAAGGGAAGAGAAGAGATCCTCTGTCTAAACAGCCCCCCACACAAGCGCAAGATCCCTCTCTTACTTGCCTTTTAAAAATCCTGGAATGTTCATAAGCCAGCATCCCCTTTGTACCTATAACCCTCTCATGCCTCCCCTTTTGAGACCCGAGGCCCTGCTTCTCGGGGGTGTTGCACCCCAACAAAAATCAAGCAAAGTGTGGTAAAGGATGGCAATGGCTACAGAGAGGCCAGCAGGCCTAACCACTCTGCCTAAGGCTGGGGCCACGCAATACACTCTGGATGGCATTCCCAGCAACAGCCCATGACAGCTCCCTTCGACGCCCATCAATGGGAAGGCTTCTCCCTAGTTTTGCTCAGAAGGGACAAGGGGCTTGTATACTTAGGAGGAAGGAGATATCCCCATGGGTCTGTCTCTACACAAAAGCAGCTAAGTCTGGGGAAGAAATAAAGTCGGATATCTGCTCCTTACCTCATCTGAGCACCAGGCACACATGGGACTCACAGCCAGACATTGCTGGCAGGAGCTCACGCCTCGTGTGGCACAGATGTTGGGCCCTGTAACAGAGAGACAGAGGCATTAGTATCTCATTTGACATGACAAAGTACCTGGTCTGCCCCCATCCTTTCCCAGCTTTCCCAAATGCCCAGGTTTACAGCTCTCAGATGCACACAAATACACCTTACCCATCCCATAGACATTTACCAAACACAGGCTGTTTGGTAAGGGAGAAGGAGAATGAGGAAGGTCAGGAGAAACTCATCACAGCCCTCAATTGATGAGGTCACTGTGATGGCAAGTGATGGAGCAAGTGTCAGATCATAAATGACGGAAAAGATTTAATTAACAACTGATTTGACACCTACATTGTACAAATGAAAATCTCAGGCCCAGAGCCATGGCAACGTACCCTCTCTCCAATTATTCTAGTGACTTAGTCACAGCCGCTACACAGGGAATTCAGAGCCCGGATGCACTAACATTAACACACGGTCTAAATATGGGGGTGGGGGTGACCACCATGGCAGTGTCCTACTGGCCTGCCAGGGGAAAGCAAATCTTCTCAAGCTTCCCAATTCATATATCTTGGGATCCAAGTATATAGAATGCTTTAGGGAAAACCGCAGAAATATTAGAAAAAGTTGACTGATATAAGCTGGAAGAACATGGAATTTTGGAGTTGGAAGACCTGTATTTGAATTCTGAATGCTCTTCTTACTAGGTGTCATGACCTTGGTCAAGTTAGTTAACCTCCATGAAGTGATGATATCTGTCTCATAGGATGTGTGCAAAGAAGTCAGTGAGGTAAAGGAGAAGCACTGGGTACACTACAAAATGCCGCTCAAGTGTGAACAGTCTTCATACTGTCAAAGGACAGAGAAAAAGCTGCAGGGAGGAGCAGAGACAACCAGAGGCATGAAAAGAGCCTTGAGAAGCCCAACCAGGATGCAAACCCAGACATCTGCCTGGACAGAAGCCCCCATCCTCCCTCCTTCCCCCAGCTTAGCCTTCCTGGCCTCAGTCAGGTAAACCTCCAGTGCCCCAGGAAGGCCTTTTGCAGTACAGTCAGCCCTCCATATCCGTGGGTTCTGCATCCGCAGATTCAAACAACCACGAGTTGGAAATATTCAGGAAAAAAATTCCAGAAAGTTCCAAAAAGCAAAAGTTGAATTTGCCACGTGCCAGCAACTATTTACATAGCATTTACATTGGATTTACAACTATTTACATAGCATTCACATTGTACTGTAAGTAATCTAGAGATGATTTATAGAATACAGGAGGATGTGCAAAGGTTATATGCAAACACTAAACTATTTCTATAAGGGACTTGAGCATCCTTGGTCGTCAGGGAAGCCTGGAATCAATCTCCCACAGATCCCGAGGGACGACTGTGCAAAGAGCAGAATGAGGGAGACCCATTCCTACTATGACCCAATTATCTTGACAATTACTTGATCCAATTTTCTAAAGTGGTCCCTTGCCCCCAGTTCATAAGACCAGCAAATATATTTGGGGGAAATCAACCTCATCACTGGGATGTTTTCCCAGTGTCCCTGAAACTTCTTACAGAGCTGTCTCAGTCCCTTTTATAACAGCGTGGCTGAACTCCCTTTCAACATCTGGGAAAAAAAAAAAAAAAAAAACACCCAGCAAATGCGTGTGTACACACATACACAAAATATTGTTAAGAAAAATAATCCAAAATGTGGAAATAGGCAAAGGGAGTACTGGGTGTCCTTTCAAGGTAATGCAAAGGGTTGACTAGTAGACCCACCATGCTTAGGGATTATCTGATTTTCCAGGGATGTGTACCTTTGTTTGACTTCTATCTTATGATTCTGTAAGAACAGAGGTTGACCTGTAGAAAACCAACAACAATGGAGAGCAACATATATGATTCTTATCCAACAGCAACATAAATGATTTCTGTCCGGTAGAAAAGGTAACCCCCAAAGGTTAAGGTTTATTGCCTTGTAGAACATTAACCAATTTTGAATCTGTTAGGTAACTGACTTCAGCATTCCTTTGACTGACTGACTATAACTCCCTTACTTGAATTCTCTTTTGAACTAGTCAACATCTTATTGGTTCCCTCATTAAGTTGGATGAAATCTTTGACACATGTTCATTTTATAGTTGTATGAGAATCATACTTTTAACTCTTTGAAAATTGCACTTTAACAGTATCCATCTCAGGGCAGAGTGACCTAACAGAAAAGGTACACACACAGTCAGTAGACTGTGGTCCTAACTGAGTCACCCACTAATAATATAGCCTTGGATGAGTCATTTAATTCCTCTCAGCCTTAGTTTCTTCACTCCAATATTCCCAACTTATAATTTTTTATGTATCTGCCTTAACAGCACTGCCACTCAATAGATTTTAAGGCTTTTGAGGCCTGTCCTGCCCAGCCCAGCCTCAGCCCTTGCTCAAAGGAGATGCTCAATAAATATATATTAGAGCAAATTGAGAGGTATTGGACTAGATCAGTTTTGTTTTGTTTTTTAAACAACTGAGCTCATTTCTCCAAATTATGCATACAATTCCAATATAAAACAGGCAAATGGGTTGAAACTGTTCCTTGGGCAATTTAAATTTTCATTGTTCTCCACAAAACACTAGATTATATGTGGAATCCTTGAAGCGCCTTCTGGAAGCCCCACATTTCCTCAGAGCCCTGAGTCTGTCTAACTTCAAAGACCTTTCCCAGGACTTCCCTGGTGGCACAGTGGTTAAGAAATCTACCTGCCAGGGCTTCCCTGGTGGCACAGTGGTTGAGAGTCCGCCTGCCAATGCAGGGGACACGGGTTTGTGCCCCGGTCCGGGAAGATCCCACATACCGTAGAGCGGCTGGGCCCGTGAGCCATGGCCTCTGAGCCTGCACGTCAGGAGCCTGTGCTCCGCAATGGGAGAGGCCACAACAGTGAGAAGCCCGTGTACCGCAAAAAAAAAAAAAAAAAAAAAAAATCCACCTGCCAATGCAGGGGACATGGGCTCGATCCCTGGTCCGGGAAGATCCCACATGCCGCGGAGCAACTAAGCCCACATGCCACAATTACTGAAGCCCGCGTGCCTAGAGCCCATGTTCTGCAACAAGAGAATCCACCGCATTGAGAAGCCCGCGCACCGCAACGAAGAGTAGCCCCTGCTCACCACAACTAGAGAAAGCCTGGGTGCAGCAACAAAGACCCAATGCAGCCAAAAATAAATAAATACATTTAGTTTAAAAAAGGCCTTTCCCAACCCTAAGATTCTTCAAGTGATATGCTACTGCAAGCCCCTGAATAACCTCTGGGGCTCCAGCCTCTGACGGACTCCAACCTAAGCATGCCATACAAGGACTGCGAGGTGGAAATTACGGCAGTGGTTCCAGACCTGGCCCTAAGGCACCAAGGCCACCTCTGAGCTGGGGTGACCCTCAGCCATGTACTGTCTCTAATGGAAGAAAAATAGCCAATCTTCCCAGAGCTGCCAGATTCAGAATGCCTGAATGTTCAAAACCAGCAATGCATCCAGAGGGCCTCTCCCTTCATGGGCTGCCTGGCCGGCTGTTAGCTCACAACTGCTCTTTTCTCAGCCAGATGGGAACTCATCCCCCTTTTACTGCCTTATTGGAAGAGTTCTGAGAGAAGCACATCCTGCACTATTTTAGGCATCTACATCCATGGGAGTACTTCTGGACATAAGTGACATGGATTTTCGGTAGGGAGAGGAGACGCACAAGATCGCAGGAAGCGTCAGAAGCAAGAAGCGGGCCGTGGGAGGTGTGGGCGCTGTCTAATTATTTTTTGAAAACTTTTCCCAGTCTATCCATTTAGCCACCCATTCATTCTCAAATTAGCATTTCCCCATGAGTCCTTGACTCATAGCCACAAAAGCAAGCCTTATCAGATGTGAAATAAACAACAGCAGGCCCCCCCCCCCCCCCCGCAGTGAACGGGCAGTCCCTGACCCCAGACACGCTATGAGCTGCTGGGACTTGTTCTTTAGGAAGTCATGGCTGGGGAGTCACGGTTACCCAGCTCCCCTTACCTCTCCTTTTTAATGAATCACAGGTTGATTTCATGAGAATCAATGATTTCCCCCACCACCACCCGCTTCCTGGGATGCCCCCCACCAAGACCTGTGACCAAGGGCAGGTTCCCCAGAATGCAGTGGCTGAAAGCGACTGACTCATCAGAAGTCTGTGCGCCTGGGCCATGCGAGCCGTTGCTCTGAGGCCACCCCTCCCCCAAAACATGTGGAAGGAGTTTGGGCCTCTGTTTCCAGTCATTCATAAGGCCTGTGTTCCTGCTCAGCCTCGGAGGCCCAGACTCGGCTCTGCTGGAGAATCAAGGATCTTCATCAGAACTTTGTCACTGAAACAAATTAACAACCCCTAGCACCCATTTCCTTGGACAGCTTAGCCACAGCGAGGCAACAGGAGGACTGGCCCTGGTCCTCCTGGTGTAGTTATAAAGCAACCAATCCCTGTCACACTCTGAGCACAATAGCTGGCAAGACAGAAAGTTCTCAATAAGGGCTGCTGCTGCTATGGTTGCTATTGTTTTTATTGTTGCTGTTTGTATCCTGAGGCCCAAGCAGTTGAAGGGAGGGGATCAAAAGTGACGGCCTGGAGGGGTGCGATAGGGAGGGTAGGAGGGGGGGAGACGCAAGAGGGAAGAGATATGGGAACATATGTATAACTGATTCACTTTGTTATAAAGCAGAAACTAACGCACCATGGTAAAGCAATTATACCCCAATAAAGATGTTAAAAAAAAAAAAAAATATATATATATATATATATATATATATATAGTCTAGGAGGGATGGCCAAGAAGAGAAGGCCAATTAGAAAACATAGACAAGACCAGCAAAGAACTTTGCCTGGAAAGTAGAAGGCTGTGGTTTGACACATCAGCCCAATTCACAGAACCAGAAGAGAGACAAAGGGTGGGGAAAATGGAGGAAAAAAAGGGAACAAGGAAGGGAGTTGGAACCAGTGGAAGTCATAATGCGTCAATGAGAGCTATTTTGAGGATATGCTGTCCAATTAGACAGGATGTCAGA